TTAGACTGTAGGTTTCGTGTCCAGTGGTTTGTTCGTCCAAGATATCTGTGCTCGGCTTCATACAAATTTTGACACATGCTGCATCTATCCTTATCTGTGATTCATTCTTTAGCGTGACATTTACAAACATGTCATTTTATTTGCATTCTTTCATTTTTTGTTCAAGTTGTAAAGCAAAATTGTGTTTTTAAACCAAATGAATGGATAATATACTACGTGTGTTGTTATCTTACATTCTACGGACTATAAGTTTTAGTTGTATATAATTTTTAGCTATATAAATTAGTTATAAGGTGAGTTTTATACTGTGATCTTGAGCGTCTGTAACTGTACCGTGGCTATTTAATTGTTCTCAGTTCAATGAGCACGATGCTCTTGTTAAACTGCACAGAGCGTGTTGTTTTTACCTTAAGTCCCTTTAAATACCACGATACAGCGTTCTGTACAGTTTTCTTTGCTCTTAATTCTTTGTAGAGATTGTAACATATAAAGTGAAAGGTGCAGTCTTTTTGTTTGTTTTGGGATTTTGATCATACATCCAATGTGCTAAATTATTTTGGAGTAAGTTTGAGTCTTGACACAAGCCTCCTTTAACCTTCAATAATATTTTTCTGGACTACATATTTAAGTATCTTTGTTCCAGTTTCTAAGATGGATGGTCAAGACCAGATGGAGCTCAAATACAGTGCTGGGGCAGAAGTAGGTGGTTTAGAGCTGTGTATAGTCTGTGGGGACCGAGCCTCAGGGAGACACTATGGTGCCATCAGCTGTGAAGGTAAGTTTATGAAACCTAAAATTCTTTAAACTAAAAAAAATTTTTTAATCAAATCAAAGTCAGAGCTAAGATAGCCAGTTCCTCTGTGGTTGAGGATTCCGGGTGAAGCTCGCTTCCACCTTCGGCCTGATCGTCACTTACCATCAGGTGAGATACAGGCCAAGAGCTTCCTCGTGGAAAAAAATAATCAAAACAGTGATTTTTAAAAGTCCACATGATGTAATAAAATTTTACAAAAGACCAGTCTTCTTCTATACTTAAAAATCCACAAAAGTGTAGCCTGGGGTTTTAGAAATTATAAAATTTTTCAAAAAACACCATGAATATGCTTTGGTTCTTGCAAATTAGTTTCTTCATGTTATTGTATTCTTTCATTTAGGTTGCAAAGGATTTTTCAAACGCTCCATACGGAAGAAGCTCGGCTACCAGTGCAGGGGCAGCATGAACTGTGAAGTGACGAAGCACCACCGTAACCGATGCCAGTACTGTCGCCTGCAGAAGTGCCTGGCCTGCGGGATGAGGAGTGACTGTGAGTACCTCAGGAGTTACCAGTGGCCTAATTCACGTATTTTGAAATAGTCGTTGACGTTTAGAAGTTGTCCTATTGAAAAACGGTCTTAAATCCGTATTCACATGTCATTTCGATAGAACGATTACCTAAGTACTCAATAGGATCGCAACTCTGTTTGTAGTTTTTGGGTTTTTTAACTGCCAACAATATTAGTTAGGTAAAAATACTACAGTTGAAAGTGACTTGACTTATGGTCCTATGTCCCCTAGATGGGGCAGAGGGCGTCCACAACAGTCCTCCATCTCGTTCGGTCTTGAGCTTCTCGCTTGATCTCGCTCCAGGTTTTGTCGATCTTCTTCGCCTCGCCACAGTTGAAAGTAGATAATACAAAATTAGTAGTAGTTTAACCCATTCAGTGCCGAATATGGATGAAAGAAAAAGTTTTCGTATAAAACAAACAGTTCAAATTATGTTATAGGTGTTTTTTTTATTAGTATCTCTCACCATCTCTGGGTAAAGTTGCTGATGGTCTGTAGAGTCTAAGATTTCGATCTTATAAGTCCAGTCCAAAATTAAGTTAATTAAGGTGAGTGAATTTAAGTAACTATCTAATATCAATTGCTTTACTATAAAATAAATATACAGTGTGAGTCACGTTAAAGTGTACATATGAAAATAGATGAAACTAGACCTATTTTTATCGACAAAAAAGAGGTCAAAAAATTTTTGAGATTTTTGTTAAATTTTTTATAGAATTTATTTTCTTCCAATTACTTATTGTAAAGAAAACGTAATAACTTTCAAACTAAGCGGTATATCCTGATAAAATAAAAACAGTAATAATGCTTAATAACAGGCAATACTAAAAAAATACATAAAATACGCAAAAAATGCCAAAAAATAATAAAAAAATATATTTTTTGAAAAAAATCTTCTTTTAAATTCGTGTTTTTTTGGTTATTTGATAAATTTCTCCAAAAAATGCCCCTATAACCTGTGGTTTTTATTACTTTGTATTATTCTCTATCGTACTACCTTCGTTAAACCTAAAATCGCATGACTCTATCCCTATCACAACGTTTGCAATGATCGTTTGAACTAAGCCTCTCCGGGCGCGCCATTCAACGCTTCGTTAACAACGAAACTGAAAATGGCTCTAGATTTGTAATTTTGATAAAGACAAGTTAGATTTCAAATAAAAACAAAAGATTTCGAAGTAAAATAAGCATTTTAGTTAAAATTAAAATTGTCTCTACCTGTAGCGGAGAATAATGTTGTGGCAGGCCTTTGTTCAAACGATCATAGCAAATGTTGTTATAGGGATAGAGACATGCGATTTTTGGTTTTACAAAGATAATACGATAGAGAATAATACAAAGTAATAAAAACCACCTGTTATGGGGGCATTTTTTGGACAAATTTATCAAATAACCAAAAAAACACGAATTTAAAAGCAGATTTTTTTCAAAAAGTATCATTTTTTATTATTTGTTGGCATTTTTTGTGTATTTTATGTATTTTTTTAGTATCGGGTAAGTCCAAAAAGTGTGTTTAATTTTGATTGTGTCAGGGTTTGTTTACTTCATTTATAGTTGTAGTTTTACAGTAAAACAAAAAGAAAAAGCTACTTTAACGGTTTCATTATATAACAGTAAATATATTTAAATGTTTCTGTATCGCTAGTAATAAATTAAATATCGTTTTCAGATCGAAATGAGTATCGTTTTGAAGACCGGGTTTGTGAGAGTTACAATATCAAATTCCAACCACAAACCGTATTTAAAGGAAAGTTGTTGGTATTGGCTGGACAAGTCCGAGATGTAGAAGAATTAAGAACAAAACAAGGGCAGAGTTCAATAATTCACGCTCTCATCATAAGGCAAACATCTGTGCACAACAACTACTGTGACTCATTTTTGTACTACCACGTTGTAAAGTTTAGTTATTTCCAAATTGTAAACGGCTATTAAAACAGCCCTATCGAAATACAGTCCACTCTTTTATTTAAGTTCCCAGTAGGACCCTTTTCATGCGATTAATTAATGATATTAAAATGTATTATGTAGAATCGCTTTGCCATTGACAGATACATCTGATGACAGAGCTTACATTATTTCTACTTTTGACCACCATGAGCGCTGCGATAGATTATGTCCCCCCCACCTAGTACTTCGCACCCAGCGAATAGACGCGCCGCATTCTTGTATCCGGTGGCGGCCACTCGCTACAGTAGTGTCCGCGACTCGCCACTAGTGGTCACTACGTGCCACAAAACGCCGACACCCGCCACTGTCGCACTGCCTGCTCCACCCCCGCTAGAAATGGGTTGGATTAGGTAAAATCAGTACCTAATCCACCTTATCCAAATATACTGGTCATCACAAAAATCAGCCCACCTACGTTTTACAGGAAAACTCGTTTCTACTGACACAACCATGGTGCCCCAACAATATTAGTATTATTTGATAGCCCACAGCGTATATTGCTTACGTATCCATAAAGAAAAACACATTTAATTTCTTAATAAACGATTAACGTAATACAATAAATGTGACTTGAAAAAAGACCTAACTTTGGGCTCACCTCTGGGATCTATTAGACCAATTTTTATGGTTATAAAACCAAATAATGATCTCACGTGTCCTCTTTAACAGATGGAAAGCGATTAATCCCAACTTAACATTATTAAAACCATAAAAGTTGGCTCAAGCGTAACTACCTATTTTTTGAAGAAGTGACTCTGGATCCTTCCAAAGACAAATTTTTGGGGTAAAAACCTTTCCTTTAATGAAATGAACTTTAGAACTAGGCTTTCAAATGGTGCCAACATTTGTGGGAAGTGGGAATGCATACGTTTGAAAGTGCTTGTCGCGGGAGGGTCGATTTTTGTGATGACCAGTTTATTTTAAAATACCTATTCCGAATATTAATCCTCCATCTTCAGACTTCGCAGCAACGAGCGGGTTATAAAATGTGGCGGCTTCCAGCCACTCACTGGCTTGACACTCTTAGAAATGTGGCGGTAGCGCGCGACAGCCACCGGTGGCTGTGGTCGGTGACCCATTTGCGCCGAGCCTTAGAAGCTATGTCTAAATAAGAATCCTCATCACCCCCACAAATAAGTCTCACCAAATAATCTGAAACGCAATGAGCAGTAATTCTTGCACCTTGTCGACAGCGGTCCAGCATGAGCGGAAGCCGATCGTGGACAAGTCGAAAGGCGAGCAACGGGACGGGGGCATGCATGAACGACAGGCTGCGTATTCCAAGCTGCTGGGACTGGCGGGACAAGCACAGGCTGCACAGGTATGTAGCATGGGTAGACGCAGACTGCACAGGTACGTTGCATGGGAAAACGCAGGCTGCACAGGTTCGTTGCATGGACAAGCACAGGTATTTTACATGGACTGCGCAGGACGCATAGATACGTTGCTTAGAAAAACGCAGGCTGCACAGGTATGTTACATTATTTACATAACCAATCGTGGACAAGTCGAAGGGCGAGCAACGGGACGGAGGCATGCATGAACGACAAGCTGCGTATTCCAAGCTGCTGGGACTAGCAGGGCAAGCACAAGCTGCACAGGTATGGCCACGAGGAGAAAACCTCTATAAATAAATTATAACTGGTCCCCTTGAAGCCGGAGAGGTTCGCTCGGGAGCAAACCTGGAGAGCTACTTCGAAACACTGTTGACGTGGTTTCGGGTCTATCTGTCCCCTTCGGCCGTTAAGGAAACCGAAGTTAGGAAACTAGTTTCCTAAAAGCCTTTTTTTATACTTCTACGTAACTAACTGGTTTCCTAAAAGGCTTTTTTTATACTTTTACGTAACTGGTTTCCTAAAAGGCTTTTTTTATACTTCTTTTTTCATAAAAAGTGGTATTCAGTATGTGATGCTAAAGTCGCCCGCCGGTGAAGACATAAATAAATTCAATACATATTTTAAAAAAGAGTGGCAAACCAATTGGCTCCGTGCACGATTACAGCGCCAACTAGCGTCCACAACTTTGTGGGTTCTGTCACATTGACATTTAGGTCGTATATTTGTGAAAAAATATCGAAATGAAAAAATAACAAATATTTTCAACTAATAAATTGTTGTGATACCACGATTTGGGTGGAAAAAAGGTTTTGAAATCATTTTGGTCATTCAAATCAAATGAGGTAAGTCCAAAAAGTGTGTTTAATTTTGATTGTGTCAGGGTTTGTTTACTTCATTTATAGTTGTAGTTTTACAGTAAAACAAAAAGAAAAAGCTACTTTAACGGTTTCATTATATAACAGTAAATATATTTAAATGTTTCTGTATCGCTAGTAATAAATTAAATATCGTTTTCAGATCGAAATGAGTATCGTTTTGAAGACCGGGTTTGTATAGATGACCCACGCTGAACTGTCCCACCAAACTCAATGACAGGGGGGCGCTACCATCGTTCAACTATATGGTTTCCAACATGGCAAAAATCGGAACTAGCGATCCGGTATTGACGGTGGCGCCCCACTGTCAATGTCATGCATAGGACAGCGCAGTATTTTGGAACTATGAGAGTTACAATATCAAATTCCAACCACAAACCGTATTTAAAGGAAAGTTGTTGGTATTGGCTGGACAAGTCCGAGATGTAGAAGAATTAAGAACAAAACAAGGGCAGAGTTCAATAATTCACGCTCTCATCATAAGGCAAACATCTGTGCACAACAACTACTGTGACTCATTTTTGTACTACCACGTTGTATAGTTTAGTTATTTCCAAATTGTAAACGGCTATTAAAACAGCCCTATCGAAATACAGTCCACTCTTTTATTTAAGTTCCCAGTAGGACCCTTTTCATGCGATTAATTAATGATATTAAAATGTATTATGTAGAATCGCTTTGCCATTGACAGATACATCTGATGACAGAGCTTACATTATTTCTACTTTTGACCACCATGAGCGCTGCGATAGATTATGTCCCCCCCACCTAGTACTTCGCACCCAGCGAATAGTGTCATTGAGAAAATTTGTTGTTGTGCTACGGAACAGATCCGAACAACCAACAACTTGGAAGGCTTTCATAGCCGGATCAACAGATACATTGCCAAGAAAAATGTTACAGTAGCTCACTTGCTAGAAATTTTGATTAAAGAGACTAAAATTACTAATATTTTTAAAAGTAATACGAAAAAAAGTATAGCCTACCAAGAAATAGATACTGAAATTAATAATGCATTTTAAATGATTTGGAAAAGGGACTAATAACTGTGGGGCACTGTATAGAAGTTATTGCTCCATATGCATTTTTATTTTAAGTTGATTAATATTTTATTTTAGTTTTATTTCATGTCAAAAAGAGTATTTATGTTTTATTAATGTTTTAAGTAAATGGATTATTTTTTGTTTTAAGTGTTTTGATTATATCCAAATATTTCAAAATTTGTCGAGTAGTTAAATCCGCCCTCTGTCCAGTACTCCAGTAGGATCTACTATCTCGATCCATCAGTGGATTTAATAGCACGCTGAAGTTCACTGATCCACCATTTGGCTCGGCGGATCCTGTGATACTTGCATCTATCTTTGTAATACCTAATTATTGACAATTATTGACAATTGACATATCTCTATCTGTACCTATTATTCGTCTAATACTGGGAATGCACTGGCTGCATACGTGCCTAGTGCCTACTAGACTAATGAATTTGTTATTATTCTTGAATAGATTGGTAATATTTATTATTAATTAATGTCACATACATAGTTATTACTTTAACGGCCAAAGGGTACTGGATGGAGGGTAAATCCGGTTATAGTTACATAGGCGGCTGAAATAACAGAAACATAGTACTTTTAGGAAACCAGTTACATAGAAGTATAAAAAAAGCCTTTTAGGAAACCAGTTACGTACAAGTATAAAAAAAGGCTTTTAGGAAACTAGTTTCCTAACTTCGGTTTCCTTAACGGCCGAAGGGTATCTGTCACAGTCACTCATGCTGGCATCTAGTTTTGCGTGAGGGATGGCAACATTCGAAAGTTCGGATAACGTTTTTCGGAGTAACCCTACTGAGGCTGAATATTGCTGAATATCCTCCTAAAGACAGATTGCAATAGAATGGGGAAAAAAACCCTACTGAGGCATAGCTGTGGCTGAATGTCCAAGTCAGGACAAAAACTTGCGGCTCAGTTTCATTCGACTTCGGTGGATATCGATGGGTTTTAGTGGGTAATAAGTCCCACCCTTAGTGGCAGGCGGAGAGAGTCCCACATGACCCACTGGCCGTCCTGAATGAATGAACGATGAATGGAAATGATTTGCGCATGATTGACGTCAATTTTCGCTCAACATCCTAGGGCGGGCACTAAACTAACGCTAACAGTTATTATATTAGTTTTGACTTTCGTTATATCGCACTGATTGGTTACAGATAAATCCAAAAGAAGAGCCCAGCGACGCTTTCGGCGCGGTTTCCCCCGCGGCGCCCGCGATAAACTTCGCGTTGGCCGCCGCCGTCGCCTTCAACAAAGGGAATCCTGGTAAGTGACCACTATTTTCCTTCACGCAAGATGCAGGCCTATATCTTCCTTGTGGGTAAAAAAAGAAATTCACATTGCCGGGATTCAAACCACAGCTAATTTTAAAACTACAAACAGCAGCCTTAACATAAGAAACAAATAAGTTTTTATTACCATCCAAAGTGAATATAATATCTGTGTCGGTATCGGACTGACTCAGTCGAGAATTTGAGATCTAAGAACGCTAATTCGAACCCCTTCGTCTGCTGGTCTATTGTGGTGGACCCACTCTGAGACCACCACGGAATTAAAAAGAAATTCAGTAGTTATAACTAGCTTTTCGGCTAAACGTAGGCCGTAATGAAGAACGTATCGTAATGACAATCCGGCTAATCGTAATGACAATCTGGCTAATCGTTGAACCGCCGTATACAAAATGGGGCTGTTTTTTAAAATGGCTAGCTGTAATGTAAAACGGCGGATTATACAATTCGAATGCGACATATTTAGATTTACTGAGTTTTCAAATGGCAATGCCAGATTTTGTATGGAAAGTGGCGTCTTTTTTTTTTCGCGCGGCCATCGACCAAACTTTGTTTTTTGATTACAAAATAGTGTAATAAACCAAACTTACTATGACATGTATACCTCTAAACTCAGTCTGAACTGAGTTACGAGCATTAGAAGTTTGATTATTTTCATACTAGATTTGCTTTTTGTGCGCAAGTTTTGTAAGAAATTGCAACAAAATATTGCGCTATTTTTTTATTGCGCTGATTCTGCTCCATACTGATGTCTGGAGCCTTTAATGGATGATATTGTTTGTTTACACATACAATCTCACTATTTTGTTGCAATTTCTTACAAAACTTTGCGCGCAAAAAGCAAATCTAGTATGAAAATCATCAAACTTCTAATGCTCGTAACTCAGTTCAGACTGAGTTTAGAGGTATACATGTCATAGTAAGTTTGGTTTATTACACTATTTTGTAATCAAAAAACAAAGTTTGGTCGATGGCCGCGCGAAAAAAAAAGACGCCAATTTCCGGCATTGTCTTTTTGTCAGTCTCACAACAACATTTTATTCCAGTGTCTCCCTACCTAAACGCGGGCAGCGCGAGCGACATCGAAGGCGCTCGTCGTCAGCAACTGATGCTGCAGACGCAGCTCGCCAAGAATCTCTTCAAGATGGGGCAGTTTGGTAAGCGATTAATTTAGTTATATTAATAATATTCAATTCGGTCGAATTCGATTCAGTCGAGACAAGTGGGTCTAGACAAAGTGCACTTTTTGATCGAATCGAAAATAGAATCCGTCAAAACTCCATACAAAAAAAAGGGCTTTTCGACCACTTTTCGACTGGTTTGCGATTAAAATGTGCACTTTGTCTAGACCCACTGGGCAGTGCTACAGTCTCCAAAGGTGCCAAATTGACTATCGATATTATTATATCGAAGTGTTGAAAAGTTTATACAAAAACGCCACAATATCGGTCCGCCGCACGGTGGTCCCGATTTAATAAAACATGGACATTGATGCTAGCATCAATGCTAGCTTCTAGAAGCACGAAAATTTTTTTGATGGTTACTGCTATGATAACTAATAAGGCAAAAAAATATTACAATCCTACGACGTCTATTTCGTAGTAAAAAAAAATGTATACATATTTTTTGTATGGAAGAAATTACGTTTCTGTCAATTTTTCGAAATTCTTTAACGATGTCAAGATGCCGATCACACATGTTATAAAACAAGTGATTCTGAGTATTTCATGCGAAGATACTTGTCACTTATCTCTGCGTACTTTTGAGTTATCGAGGGTTGAAAAATCGATTTTTTTATATTAAATATTTCCACGAAAAATTGCCAGAATTACAATATGGTGTATAAGGGACACTTTTGATGACACATAACAACGACTCGCACTCGCGCGCGCTCGTATGCATCAACTTTTACTAAAATAAAAAAAAAATTAAGGGAAATACTTAATACAACGTTGTATGTATAGGTCCGCTGGCCGTCAAAAAGTAGCTTATACAAGAGGTTGCCCAATTTACAATATGTCCATCATTAATAACTCACACAAATATCGTCTCTCTCTGAAGGATAACAAGTTTTTTTTGTTTCCAGAAGCTCTTGTAAAAGTTGATGCATACGAGCGCGCGCGAGTGCGAGTCGTTGTTATGTGTCATCAAAAGTGTCCCTTATACACCATATTGTAATTCTGGCAATTTTTCGTGGAAATATTTAATATAAAAAAATCGATTTTTCAACCCTCGATAACTCAAAAGTACGCAGAGATAAGAGACAAGTATCTTCGCATGAAATACTCAGAATCACTTGTTTTATAACATGTGTGATCGGCATCTTGACATCGTTAAAGAATTTCGAAAAATTGACAGAAACGTAATTTCTTCCATACAAAAAATATGTATATATTTTTTTTTACTACGAAATAGACGTCGTAGGATTGTAATATTTTTTTGCCTTATTAGTTATCATAGCAGTAACCATCAAAAAATTTTTCGTGCCTCTAGCATCAATGTCCATGTTTTATTAAATCGGGACCACTGTGCGCCGGTCGGTATTTTGTAAATCTGTCTTGCTTAAATAAAGGTTTTATTATTTTTTTATTATTATTATAAATATCAACGGCGAGTACATCACCTACCTTCGATTCGCGATTTGAAAAGGTACTTTAGCATCCTGAAAAGTATCTAATGTATTCTATAATTTGTTGCAGGTGCAATAAACGAATATTTACAGTCGGCATACGGCGCCACGCCACCCGAGGTGCCGTTGTCGCTACACGCCGCCGCCGACACGCAGCAAGTTGAAGGTGAGACGCTTCATTTGAATAATGTCCTTGTGTTTGAGTAGGTTTATCAAAATAGATAGACCAGTAATCGACGGGGATCAAACTAACGTCGCATTCCTCTATAGTCTGGTCTGTGAGCACGTAGAATTTTGTCCAATGACCCCAAGCTACCCATCGCACACTCACTGCGGGCGCCCGTCGCACAGTCGCGACAGCAATATAATTACGCGCGAGCGATAAGGATGGGTAGCTTGGGGTCATTGGACAAAATTCTACGTGCTCGGCGACCAGACTGATCCGAATCCGTGAAAGACGATAATAATAATAATATGGTAGTTTAGGTATTAGATCAGATTTACGTTATGCTTTTTCGCTAATTAATTTTCTACATCTGTATTTTGACAAATTCAGGTCAGACGTACTGCGAAACCTTTAATGCCCACCTCAGAAATTAGAAAATGAATGGTGGCAATATCTTGACAATGATAACAGTCCAGTCATTTAAGCTTAAATTAGGTAAGAATCTCGGAATTCGAGATACCCAGCTGTAAGTCTGTAAATACTTGTATATTGACACCCTAAAAGTTGTCTCAAAACCTACATAAATGGTAGGGTGTAAGCAACTATTAAATTTCAAGGTCAACGGTCACAAAAATCGGTTTTTTGCGCTTTTTTTTTGAAATATCTCATTTCCTATGGGTTTTTTGCTATTTGTATTTATTATCAATATTGTAGAATACAAAATTCTCTACAAATTTTGTTCAAAAAAATTTTTTATACGGTGAACCGTTTTCGAGATAGTGGGCGGAGAGCGCGCGGTCACTGCATCACTTCAGGTCAACTTAAGCGGTTTAGATTTTTCATACAAAAGGATTTTCCCGCTAATTCCCGTGGGAAAATTTAATAGTTGCTTACACCCTACCATATGTAGGTTTTGAGACAACTTTTAGGGTGTCAATATACACGTATTTACAGACAGCTGGGTATCTCGAATTCCGAGGTGAACTTACTATAATGACTGGACTATAATAATGATTACGGAATGCTCTATCACTTCAGTGTTTTCTTGTATCTCGATTTTAACCTCAAACCTTTCTCACCAGAGCCGGACTCAAGCATCCTAAGTACAGCGGAGTCCCTCACACTCTCGCTACCGCTGCCCGCGCCCGCGCCGCCGCATCTGCGTTTGCACGCCGCGTGCGAGGCGGGCGCGCGCCTGCTGGCCGCCAACGCGCGCTGGCTGCGCGCCGTGCCCCACGCGGCACACCTGCCGTGAGTAGTTAGTGCTAGGGTACACTGACAGATGGCGTTAGCAGGCATAAGCCACTTAGTTCTAAACTGCGCTGCTAGATGGCGTTAGCAGTTAGCGTCGTGTGGCGTCGTGCCCCACGCGGCCCACCTGCCGTGAGTACTTAGTGTTAGGGTACACTGACAGATGGCGTTAGCAGGATAAGCCACTTAGTTCTAAACTGAGCCGCTAGATGGCGTTAGCAGTCTCTCCCACGCGGCCCACCTGCCGTGAGTAGTTAGTGCTAGGTTACACTGACAGATGGCGTTAGCAGGCATAAGCCACTTAGTTCTAAACTGAGCCGCTAGATGGCGTTAGCAGTCTCTCCCACGCGGCCCACCTGCCGTGAGTAGTTAGTGCTAGGTTACACTGACAGATGGCGTTAGCAGTCTCTCCCACGCGGCCCACCTGCCGTGAGTAGTTAGTGTTAGGGTACACTGACAGATGGCGTTAGCAGGCATAAGCCACTTAGTTCTAAACTGCGCCGTTAGATGGCGTTAGCAGTCTCTCCCTCGCCATGCCCCACGCGGCCCACCTGCCGTGAGTAGTTAGTGCTAGGGTACACTGACAGATGGCGTTAGCAGGCAAACGGCACTTAGCCGCTAGATGGCGTTAGCAGTCTCGCCCGCGCCGTGCCCCACGCGGCCACCTGCCGTGAGTACCTACTTACCGTTACGCTGCACCGGTAGATGGCGATAGAACGCATAAGCCACTTAGTTCCAAACTGCCGCGCTAGATGGCGTTAAGTGGCGTTTGCACTCGCGTAGCCGTGAGTACACTTGGTACGAAGCTGTGGCCGCGGGAGTCTCGAACTATCTCTTCCGCTGCCCACGCTGCGCACTGTGCTGCCTGCCGCGCACCTGCCGTGAGTAGTTAATGATAGGCCGTGCCGGTAGATGGCGTTAGCAGGCATTTAATTCGCGCAACGCAAGTTTTTCTTTGAGGCAATAGTGTACATACATACTATCTGAGGGTGAGAGCCTAGGTATGTTGCATATGAAATCTAAATTATCTATCCAAAAATATAGCAATAGAATGATGAATGTTGGCAGATCTAATAAATAAAATAAAATAATTGCAATCTTCTCTGTGAGAACTTCTACAGGGTGTTAGGTAAATGGGTATATGAGCCGACACTAGCCCATGTTAACATGGGCATATAAATGGTATGGTGAAGTCAGAAAATTGATATCATCATTTAATTTTTTTAAATTTTCATACAAAATAAATTTTATAAAATCCGATTTGTATGAAAATTAAAATAATTAAATTTAAGATATCAATTTTCTGACTTCACCATACCATTTATTTGCCCATGTTAACATGGGCTAGTGTCGGCTCATATACCCATTTACCAAACACCCTGTATATTAGAACTAGAGTAGTGCCGCTGGCCAAGATCTTATCCTCCAGGTGCTAATACCGTGCCTTCTAACTCCCTTCTTCCCCGCAGGTTCGAGATCCAAGTGACCCTATTCAAGAAGTGCTGGCCGGAACTCTTCGTGCTCGGTCTGGCACGTCTAGCTGGAGCCCTGGCGCTGCCGGCGCTGCTGCCTCAGTTGGTGGCGCATCTTCAAGCTGAACTGCGATCGCGCGCCGGAGCCCCACGCCGCCAGCCTGACCCGCCGCAGCCCGAGGTAATATTAAGACAATGTTTAATGGTTTTCCCACACTAGCGTCTTTCGATTTTCATCTCGCCAGTGGCTTCGCAACGTTGACGCAAATGCTGAGCAGCTTCTAAACGCGTTGCAATGCTATGTCAAATCAAATCAAAATTATCTTTATTTGTTTAGAGTCTAAATTCGATCGATTTGCGATTTCAAATGCTCTTAAGGAGCCTATCATCACCATCATCAACAGCCCTTTACAGTCCACTGCTGGACTATGAGCCTCCTCCACTATAGTGGAGGGTTTTGCCATAATCTCCACGCTTGGCAGGCGGGTTGGAGATCGCAGTTTAAAAGATTGATGTTTTTCAGAGAACGCTGCTGCCCATTCTCTGTTTGATGTGTAGTCCCTAAGTCGCCTCTTACGACACCCGCGGGAAGAGTAGGGGTTGGTGACAAATGTATTCTACTCTGCCGTCACCACACGGCTTAAGGAGCCTATACATGTCTCATTCTTTTTTTGCCCTACCAGCGCTTCTAGACAAACATTTGGCAAGTGCTCAGATGTTCTGTTCAGATCTGCTCTGATATGTTCAGCATTGTCCGCGCGGGCGTTGGCCAGACGATAGCGCTCGAAAGACGCTAGTATGGGGTCTATGTAAATCGTGTCGTGATCTCCTTTCGAGAACGCTTTCATTCTCTCTTTCACTGCTACTGCACCAATGTAAAGCCTGGTCCGTGAGCACGTAGAATCCCGTCCAATGACCCCAAGCTACTCATCCTTATCGCTCGCGCGTAATTATATTGCTGTCGCGCTCGCACACTCACTGCGGGCGCGCGTCGCACAGTCGCGTCGCACTGCGCGCGACAAGGATGGGCAGCTTGGGGTCATTGGACGGGATTCTACGTGCTCACTGACCAGGCTTTACAAGTATGTATATTGCCAGGAATTTTTTTTGTTCATTTTTTTTTGTTCCGCAATGCTAAAGTGGCTCTTTGATTTGCAGATCACAGTAGCAGACTATTCGGACGAACGCATAGCGGAGATCAGCAGTACTTTAACGCGTCTACAGCAGTTCCTGGGCACGCTTGAACAGTTGCGCGTGAGCGAGCGGGAACACGCGCACCTCCGCGCGCTTTGCCTGTTCTCGCCTGGTGAGTACTTAGTGCTGGGCTGCGCCGGTAGATGGCGTTAGCAGGCATAAGCAACTGGTATAGTACCAAAATACTGAACTGTCCTATCCATGACATTGATAGTGGGGCGCCACCGTCAATACCGGATCGCTGCTTCCGATTTTTGCCATGTTGGAAACCATATAGTTGAACGATGGTAGCGCCCCCCTGTCATTGAGTTTGGTGGGACAGTTCAGCGTGGGTCATCTATACTAAGCCGCGCCGGTAGATGACGCCAGGAGTCTCTCACCCTCTCGGTAGCAGGTTTAAAGCAGCTAGAAAAAACTAAAATAAGCAGCAAGAATCAATAAAAGAGTCGCGTACCCATGGTATAACTACTAGAAAAAAAAAATTCTTTAGCAGAACACAAAAACAAACGTTGAAAGTAGACTCGCGTACCCATATGCATACCCTTTCTCGTCCAGGGAAGGGAAATTAGATCAGTTAGTTAAACTCTTCCGTGTTTTCCGTAATTTTTCGTAGAGGGTGAAGCGGAGTAACGACAGAAGAATTATAGTTAATTTAAATACATTCACTATCCCAACTAGGAAACCTATTCTAAGCAAGTCAGCCCTATGGCTTCGGGCCTTCGGCGCAGTACCGATCACTGACGTTTTTCAACAAAATGATGCTTGACTCTTGAGACAAGCTAAATTGCAACAAATTGTTAATGACTTTGAGCATAAATTTTTTTAAATACCTTCGCGAAGTAAAACTTCTGTACGTCGTAGTACTTATTCTGTGCTCATACTAATATATCAATCCACCACAGATGGCGTGCCAGATTTCTTAACCCGCAAGATGCAGGAATACCAGGCCAAAGTCCTGCGCTCCCTCAAGGCGTGTTGCCAGCCTGAAGAAGAACGCCTGGCCACCTTATTACTGCAGCTGCCTGTGCTAAGGACCTTCACTGGACCATTCCTGGAGGATGTGTTCTTTGTTGGGTTCTTGGGTGACGTCAGCATTGATGATGCGATCCCGTATCTGTTGAACGCTGAGCGCTGATGTAAGTGATTATCTTTTCATTTATTATTTAGAATCCGTAGTGATTATAATTTTAAGTGGTGACATAGACAGAAACTTCAATGTGGTATGGCCTATCACAGATTTCCTCGTATTCATAAAAACATTTCAGCTTTTGCCCGTGGCTTTGCCCTAGTTTGTTACAGAAATATCGTAAAAAATGTAGCCTATAGCTGTTATTCTTATGTATAACAATTATACTGTAGTTTCATGAAAAACCATTAAATAGTTTTTGCGTGAAAGAATAACAAACATCTTTTCATCTTCACAAACTTTCACATTTTAATATTAGTAGAATAGAATAGGATATAATCCTGCAAGCCGATGACGTCACTCTGTACCGTTAGTAAAAACTAACTTTATTTTATTATTTTCAGGTGCAGCTAATAACTACGAGAAACTTGGTGCTTGAAAAAAATATTGACTATTTTTTATATTCTATAAGTATAATTTTATGCTCTTTCGTTAGAATTGTCACGAATTGATTGAGACAATGGAACGACAATACATTTGATACAAAATTCTCATTCACTCATTCAGTTCGTACCAGATTTAACGAAAATTTAAATTGTGCCTTAATTGCTAGGCAAACTTACTTCCATTTAAATTGTTATATTAATTTAGGTTTAACCTTATAAGTTTAATATTAATAGCTTTATTCCGATGACATGATACATCAAATTTCACATTAAACTGTATCAAAGAATATTCACTGCCACAGAATTTACTTCAAGTCTTAATTTAGTCCAAGGTCACTCAACAAAAAGGCACTCTCAGCGCCTGGTAATAAAATGCTAAATTGCTCGCAGCTTAAGCACGAGGTTTTGGAAGCAGTGAGTGACAGTGTTTAATCGGAACGCATCCTTGGATTGTGCATTTGAAACGTGAAAATGTAACCGTGACGCGTAACAAATGCGCGGGAAACGCATTGTGCGCACACAGCTTGGGATTGTCTACACATTCTGTTTAATTAATGCAGTTCTAAATAACTAATAAATATTATAGAATATTACTTATGTAAGGGCATTTTTACATTATAAATAATAATATTAATTCATATTCCTATGAAAAATTGTGTACTTAATTTTTTACATAATGTTTTGATTTTAAGGATACTTATTTATAATGTTTCTCAAATGTAGGGTTGATATTATGAAATCATGTTTATTGACCATAAATGGCCACTAATAAAAGAAAAAAAATATCGATGATGAAACATGATGAATCCATCCTGTATTCTTTTGTTAGATAAACATTATTATAAATACCGTCCAGTGTTAGTAAAATGTTTATTAAATACTTTAACAAGCGCAACTAGGATGTACAGTTGCTTTTATATAATAGATTTTTTAAATTACGTTAACCTAAGTGCCTCTACTAAAAATATTTTTAAATAAAACAATATTGAATCTTGAACTTGGTGTTATTTTTACCAAACTCCGAAAAGATTATTACTTTAAAATTCAGGGCGTCTTCAGGACGGGATTAGCAGGAATCAAATCAAATCAAATCAAAATCATTTATTGCATAATGTAGGTACACATTACAGGTCACATAAAAAAATATATTGTTCAGCTACATCATACCATATCGGCATGCAACAGAATCAATTTTTCGTGATTCAAAAAATTATACAAAAGAATTAAAATGTCACAATAATAATTAACAATGTCAAATTTAGTAGATAGAATTTAATATTACATTAGTATGTCAATTTGTCACATAGATTTGATAATAACAAGGTCAAACATACAATTTATGTTNTTTCTTATACTGCGTGCGGTCGTTGCGCGTGCGCACAAAGGAATGAGACCGCTCGGACACCGAGCCCACAGCGTGGTAGGGGTGGGGTTACCCGCTCTTTTGTTTTTTACTACGAATACGCTTAATATTGTGTGCGGATTGGCTTGTCGTACAGGGGTACTACACGGTAAAATAAATCTCGGAGGCGAAAACAGGATAATGTAGGTACATATAGGTCACATTGAAAAAATGTATTGAAAATGAAAATGAAAATGAAAATGATATTTATTTAGTCCAAAAATATTACAGTACATGATCTGGTTACTGTTACATTCAGAATAAAAACGGATTACAATTTATATTTATACAGTAAGTACTAACAGCATCACTGTACTCCACACTAGGATTCCCTGTGTCGTGGAGACCAGTCTTCCCATTGAAATTTCGAGATAAGTTGCGTTTGTATGTATTTTAAAAATTTTAACTTACTTGAAAAAAAATCGAACTGCCTAAGGCCCGGTTTTTTGATTCGTAGTTAAATTAACCAATGGTCAAATTTGACAGATGTCAAATGACAAGTGGTTAAATATCAGAAAATAATGTTTTTCGAACAATGGTTAGCTTGACTTTTAGTACATTTTTTAACTATTAGTTAACATTTTGTTAATATTTAACCATTAGTAACAAAATTTAACAATTTGTTATTTTAACTATGAATCAAAAAACTGGGCCCAGGAATTGAACCTGAATATTTATAATTATTTATAATTTTCAAATAAGTTTGAGATGCGACTCTTATCGTTAGAAATTAAATAACTTTGTATGTGTGATGTGTGTGTGTGTGTGTGTGTGTGTGCGTGTGTGTGAGCGCTAGTGGCAGGATATATACATAATATATTATATTGTTCAGCTACATCATACCATATCGGCATGCAACAGAATCAATTTTTCGTGATTCAAGAAATTATACAAAAGAATTAAATTAAATGTCACAATAATAATTAACAATGTCAAATTTAATAGATAGAATTTAATATTACATATTAGTATGTCAATTTGTCACATAGATTTGATAATAACAAGGTCAAACAAACAATTCATGTAGAATAATGTCTTTAAATGGATCTATCCAGGAGGAATTCGCTAACTGAGTAGTATGCTTTATCAATTAAAAAGTCGTGTAGGATTTTTTTTTAAATAAATAAGTCTTCTTTATTTCTTATGGTATGTGGTAATTTATTATAAATTCGCGGTGCCATACCTGGTAAGTTTTTTGTAAACAGTGCTATTTTGTGTTCAGTTGAGCATATTCTGTTTTTGTGTCGTATACTTTTATGTACTGAGAATAAAGGAGGATTTCTTCTGACAAATAAACATACCTCCTTAATGTAAATTGATGGGAGGGTTAGTAGATTTGTGACGCGCCCTGCGACGCATCGACAGCCCTAGCACCGAGCGCGGAGATTTTGACAACCCTACGGCTGCGCGGCCGCACGCCGCACGGACCGAGCTAATATAAGAGACGGCGGCGGCGACCGCGGGCGCTCGATACGGCCCGATCGCGAACGTCGGTCTGCGACCGATGCGGACGAGCATGGGCTTCGCTTCGCGAAGCCCACACTCGGCCTCGTCGGCTCGCGCACCGACGATCGCCAAACGGCTAGAGTACCTTCTGTACTCGCCACTCTGCCCGGTGAAGCTGGAAAAGCTCCTCAAGCTACCAGCGCGCGTCCCTTCAAAAAAAAAATGAGTGGTTGAGGATTCCGGGTGAAGCTCGCTTCCACCTTCGGCCTGATCGTCACTTACCATCAGGTGAGATACAGGTCAAGAGCTTCCTCGTTGTGGATAAAAAAAAAAAATACTCGTAGTACTTTTGTAATATGCGAGTAAAGCATTTGAAGGGTTTTTTTTAAGGTGTGATGCTTGGTTTTGCAGGCCACTGTATATTTAGGTTAATAAATAATATCATCCTAATGTGTGATCCTTCTAAGTAAAGTCTGTTGCAGTTTTTATCACTCTCAATGACTTATGTTATAATATAAAGTAAGTAAGCTGTGGTAAATGATGCTGATGTTGAATTTACTGATTTTTTGCAATTCGATTTCTTAAGCAACATTGTATTCAACATTGTTTTTTTACCCTAATAAAGTAAAAAAAAAAAAAAAAAAAATAATGTGTCAATATGCGTCTTCCAGTTGAGATTTTTATCAACCCAGACACCTAGGAATTTTGTAACGTCAGTTTCTTTAATATTTTTATTGTCATATTGTATATTAAGATTATTGTGATTTAGTTTAAATGTCATGAAAAGGGTCTTATCTAGATTAATTTTAATATTATTTAATAATTTTAATATTATTTAATGATAGCCATTGTATTATAATCATTTAATGTTTTATTAATGTCAGATTCATATGATCCCATAGTATCACTTCCAGTAAATAGAACTGTACTGTCGTCAGCAAACAAAGTCATAGGGTGCTGAGTAACCTTTGGCAAGTCGTTTACATAAAGTAGAAATAACAACGGCCCAAGAACACTGACNAATATGCGTCTTCCAGTTGAGATTTTTATCAACCCAGACACCTAGGAATTTTGTTACGTCAGTTTCTTTAATATTTTTATTGTCATATTGTATATTAAGATTATTGTGATTTAGTTTAAATGTCATGAAAAGGGTCTTATCTAGATTAATTTTAATATTATTTAATGATAGCCATTGTATTATGTCATTTAATGTTTTATTAATGTCAGATTCATATGATCCCATAGTATCACTTCCAGTAAATAGAACTGTACTGTCGTCAGCAAACAAAGTCATAGGGTGCTGAGTAACCTTTGGCAAGTCATTTACATAAATTAGAAATAACAAAGGCCCAAGAACACTGCCTTGCGGCACTCCATATTTTACACGTTGTTTTGTTGAATAATAGCAGCTGTTAGTTAATGTTTTTGAACATATTCTGTTAATGCACGTTATTTGTTGCCTTTCAGTTAGGTAGGATTCTAAAAGTAATCATCGTGCCGACAATCCTGTTCAAAGGGGATACTGCGGTGCAATGTAGAATAGAAACCGAATTAACTCGATCAAGTTAACTGCGCACCTCGCTGGAATAGTGGAATGCCAGTCCCACTTACCCGCTAACCTCCCCGCGTTCGCTGTACGATGTGACGTCACGGCAGCCAGGTGCGCAGTTAACTTAACAAGGTTTTAGAAAAGACGCACCGAGGCTACAATCAAGTCAGTCAACAAGTATTGTGAATATTAAATAAAAATAGGTAGGTAAACTAGGACAAGAGATCTTGCATTTACTCCATGACGGCATCAGACGGCATACTTAGTTTTTGAAGCGGACTGCCCCTGCTTGCTTATCATCATCATATCACACTGCTACATAGTAGTAATTGATTGCGGTGGGAGACCACACAGACTTATCTAAGAGATAAAAGTGCCGATATAATTAACTAAAGTGGTTGCATTATTTGATAAAGTGTATATTTTGATCAAATGCCAGTTATATTCAAACAGTACAAATCGGAACATTTGTCGGAAGCGGAACACAAAGCACAGTAGATATAGTTCCAAAATACTGGACTGTCCTGTCGATGACATTGACAGTGGGGCGCCACCGTCAATACCGGATCGCTGGTTCAGATTTTTGCCATGTTGGAAACCATATAGTTGAACGATGGTAGCGCTCCCCTGTCATTGAGTTTGGCGGGACAGTTCAGCGTGGGTCATCTATATATCTGTCACCGGAAAATAACAAGACTCGTAAGTTGATCAATATTCTAGGAAGTTGATCAACTTTCGGAAAATAACAAACGGCAGTTGAAATGTACTATTTAACGCATCGAATTCTAGCTAATTGGTCAACTTACGGTACCTAGCCGTAATTTAATAATTAACTATATTGCTACAAGTAAAATCATCCACAAATGGGCCAATCATTGCCCAGTGTACTATTTGACGGTACACTATTATCCGTCACTTAATACACTTTTCTCTGATTGGTCGACAGACACTTAGATTATGTTGTATTAATATTTACATTTTAGAGATAGGGATATTAAAGTTCGTCTATGCTATATAGTTAAATAAATGAAAAATGTTTAAAAAAATGTAACTATTGGAGCTCAAAGTTTTATTATTGTAAGTTATATTAATAATAAGTAAGTTTGTTTATTTCTACCACTACAGACTCCATTTCACTCATCATAAATAAAATGACGCGTTATAATAAGAATTATTAGCACACAAAACAACAATTGCTAATTTTACTACTGTAAATAAAGAAAATAGATAGATTTGTTTACGTTTAAACCGGTAATGGCGGCGGCCGAGTGGCGGGGAGCGGTATAAGAGCACGTGAGTCTTTTAACCAATCAACGTGCACCTTGCCTTTGTCGGATGATTTAACGGCAAGACGCCGTAAATTAATCAACTAACTAAAATACATACGTTAAATAGTACATTTCAAATGCCGTTTATTATTTTCCGAGAGTTGATCAACTACCTAGAAAATTGATTAACTTACGAGTCTTGTTATTTTCCGGTGACATATCTATAGTTCCAAAATACTGAACTGTCCTGTCCATGACATTGACAGCGGGGCGCCACCGTCTATACCGGATCGCTGGTTCCGATTTTTGCCATGTTGGAAACCATATAGTTGAACGATGGTAGCGCCCCCCTGTCATTGAGTTTGGTGGGACAGTTCAGCGTGGGTCATCTATACTGTGCACAAAGTTTGCTTGCTGTCAGCTGACTCAATGTCAATGTCAGTAATTTGTCAAATATTTATTTTGTTGTTTACCTACCTCACCAGGGTTTTTTTGTAAATCGCTGAAACTCTGTGCTAATATCTAAAACATATTCAAAAATGTCTGGAAAAGTTGCAATCGTGACCGGCTCCAATAAGGGAATTGGTTTTGCGATCGTCCGTGGACTCTGCAAAAAGTTTGACGGTATAGTTTACCTAACCTCTCGTGATGTTGAACGCGGCAAGAAAGCTGTAGCTGACCTTGAAAAAGAAGGGCTACACCCGAGCTACCACCAGCTAGACATTACTGAAGATAAGAGCATTGAGACTTTCCGAGATTTCATAAAACAAAAACATGGTGGCATAGATATTCTGGTTAACAACGCAGCTATAGCCTTCAAGCATAACGCCACAGAGCCGGCTGCAGTCCAAGCTGAACAAACGTTAGCAGTGAATTACTTTGCAGTTCTGAACACTTGCGAAAAACTTTTCCCGCTCGTCAAAAATGGCGGGAGAGTCGTAAATATCTCAAGCTCAGCTGGCCATCTGAGTAAAATACCCAGCGTGGCATTGAGAAATCGTTTCAAAGACCCAAATTTGACCATTCCTGAGCTGTCGGAGTTGATGCAGCAGTACATAGAGGCAGCCAAACAAGGAACACAGGCTCCTGAATGGGGCAACTCATCATATGCTGTATCTAAAGTTGGTTTGACTGCTCTGACCATGATTCAGCAAAGAATGCTTAATGATAGAGGTATGTTTTTGTTGATTTCATAACTACAATGTACTTTGATAACAATGATACAGCAATTTAATGACATTGTCATGTTCATTTTTACCTACTTAGCAGATAAAAATCTCAAAAAGTTTTAGTCACTATGATGATTTAGCTATTATATTGAACTAATAAAACATCACATTCATTCTTTCATCTATCATATTAAATCTACAATACATTTTCTCAGTTATCTGACCTTGCTGTCATTTTTTATTTTAGACATAAAAGTGAATGCAGTACACCCTGGATATGTGGACACCGACATGACATCTCACAAGGGACCGCTCACCATCGATGAGGGTGCTGCCGCTCCGTTATTCTTGGCGCTGGACGCTGATGACTCGGTGAAGGGACAGTATGTGTGGTATGATAAGCAGATCACTAGCTGGGAGAGAGACACCCGCTCAGCTTATTAGATAGATAATTTCATCCACGAAGACGTGCCTCAACATTCTTCCACTAATGTTTGAGTGTTATCAGTACACACTAAATTATCCATTAGTGCACATATACTACAATAATGACGTTCGGATTGCTCAGATCAAACTCCCTGCACCCCACACTTCCCCTGACCAAAAATTGGTGGGGCGCATCTTCGTGGATGAAACGGGCTATATTTATTACTATGTAAGGCAACATTTATTCATAAAGTATTAAAGAAGCACTATAAGAGCCTATACCTATTGTTTAAGATTTAGTGCCTATTGTTAAGTATCAAGTACAAAATATGATTTAATACATTTAAAATGTCCTTGCACAATCTTGCACTTTATTACAATCATATTATAATTCAAATACGTGTCAGTGCCTTGATTTGATAAGTACATGGATATTACATTATTCTCATAGCTATAAGTTTGCAATTTGCAATGTAAAACATTGTACATTTTATGTTGATTAAAACACTCAAATGTTGATTATGATTATTTGATTACAAATTAAAATTGAAAAACTCACATCACCAGGGCCGAATTCGACAACTGTGGCCCCCCAGTGTAGTCCCATTTTCATATCCTAATAATATTTCGGGTGATTTCTAGGCTGACAATATGGACTTAGGATAATTTGAAAGGAAATCTGATTTGAGAACTGGTTCACTGGTAGAGAATGCCATACGGCATTAAGTCCGCCACTGTACATCACTTTTATGTGCAAGTTTGAATAAATAAAAAAATCTAGAAGTCACACAGACACACTACACTTCACCAATCATTATGTTATCTATATTTATTATTTAAGTGTGTAATGGTTAGTTCATGATTTTGGTCCCTAAATCTACCTCAAAACTAGGCCCAGTAACAGATTTAAGGTCCTTAGATAATGAGCGCCTACAACTATTGATGGCGTAAATATTCACTCTGCTTTTTTTCTGTATTTTACTTGGCTTTATTTTCTTTTTGTTTCACCTTAAAATAAATTTTCTCTCTCACTCTGAAGCAGTATTTGGACGATACATTGAAAGACCATTAACTGAAATGAGGGCGAATGTCGTTTTAGTAACTTCCTATGATTTTTCACCACATTTTGTAGGCGATAACAGCTTACTGTTATTGTGCGGTATAGTAATTTATGTGCGGTACACGCTATCTAATAAGCACTTATCTAAACAGATAAAAGCACCTATTTAAACAACAGTACTCATATTATCGACCCAATAATCACCTCGAATTGAACGCGTACTCATCTAAGTGGTTTGTTGTTAACATAATCATAAATAAAAATAGTGACAACCTGTGAAGTATTTTCCAAAATGTCAGGAAAAGTAGCTGTAGTTACCGGCTCCAACAAGGGAATTGGGTACGCGATTGTCCGCGGCTTGTGTAAGAAGTTCGACGGGACAGTATTCTTAACTTCTCGTAACGTTGAGCTCGGCAAGAAGGCCGTAGCTGATCTTGAGAAGGAAGGACTCCACCCGAAATACCATCAGCTGGACATAACTGATAATAAGAGCATCGAAACTTTTCGGGACTTCATAAAAAAAGAACACGGCGGAATAGACATTCTGGTTAACAACGCAGCTATCGCCTTCAAACAAAACGCGACAGAACCCGCCGCAGTTCAAGCCGAGCAAACGGTGGCAGTTAACTACTTCGCAGTGCTAAACGCTTGTGAAAAGCTGTTCCCGCTTATCCAAAATGGCGGGCGAGTTGTAAACATCTCAAGCTCAGCCGGCCATTTGAGTAAAATACCTAGTGAAGCGTTAAGAAGTCGTTTCAAGGACCCGAATCTGACCATCCCTGAACTGTCAGGATTGATGCAGCAATACGTAGAGGCGGCCAAGCAAGGAACACACGCTTCTGAATGGGGCAACTCGTCGTATGCTGTATCCAAAGTTGGTTTGACTGCACTGACCATGATTCAGCAAAGAATGCTCAATGACAGAGGTATGTATTCCTGTAGCGTAAAACATAAGACACAAGTTAAGGTATAAGTCCAAGATGGGCTGCGGACTGCAACTGCAGGCGACACTGCGGCTAGAGGCTACGGTTGACTGCATGTCATATAGGCAACTTTCCGTTAAGCTTTCCGCCCGCGGCTTCGCCCGTATGGAATTTTGTCTATTACAGAAAAACTATCGCGCGCGTCTGTTTCAAAAACGGCATAAAAACTATCCTATGTCCTTTCCCGGGACTCAAACTATCTCTATTCCAAATTTCATCAAAAACGGTTCAGTGGCTTAGGCGTGAAAGCAAGACAGACAGACAGAGTTACTTTCGCATTTATAATATTAGTATAGATTTCATAGAAACCGTGGTGGCTTGCAGTTTACAGTCTGCAGTCCAGCTTGGACTTGTATCTTTAATCACATACTAACAAAATTTCCTATCTTTCATTATATTCATTGTTGTTACTATACTTGCAAAGTATGGAATCACCTCTTGTGTTTTGTTCCCAGCGATCTGAAGAATTCGATGATTATCTATGTATGTATGGTATCAAGTTAAAGTTTATAATGTAACCTTTAAAGTGGTACAATTTTTTATTCAATATTGATAGTCATTTAGTTCCAACTTCCAAAGATCACTCGAAACGAATGGGGTGATTCCATATTTTTGCTCGCGAGTGTATTTAGTTTATTGTAGATATAGATAATTTTGCTAAGTCACCCGACATGTTTGGTTTTAGATATAAAAGTGAATGCGGTACACCCTGGATATGTGGACACCGACATGTCATCTCACAAGGGGCCGCTGTCCATCGATGAGGGTGCTGCTGCTCCGTTATTCTTGGCCCTGGACGCTGATGACTCGGTGAAGGGACAGTATGTGTGGTTTGACAAACAGATTACAAGCTGGGATGGGAAAACACCCACTCCGTATTAAATTACTAATAATTAGCAATATGTTTGGAACTGATTCTGAGTATTTATTGTAATAAATAATCATTGGTAAGCGCAATCTGTATTTTATTTATCTTGTCAATCTCAAAGTGATAGAAATAAATAATTTAAAGCATGTTGTTCAAGATAACAATTTGTGACAAAGAATAGTATTTTTGATAAGTTATTTTCAAAACATTCGGGAATTCAAACTTATATATTTTTTACAAGTATTTTGTTTATGTTCAGGGGCGCATTTGGAAATTGGGGTCCCCCAATTGTTCCCTTTTTTATTAGCCATCTATGATCAATATATTTTTGTAATGATTGCAATGAGTAATTAAAAAGCAAAAATAAAACATACAAGTTCTTTCTAATATTTATTACTAATTGTTAGACATAAACTCATTAAAAACAAATTACCAAAGTACATGACTTAAAAAATGTACAATAAATGTAATTTATGACACGCAATCTCAAAATATATCCAGATAATGTTTTCTATACAATGATAATAATATTTGGTGCATTTATCGCCAATCCTTACAATATTATAAGCAATATAATTTTAGTCAATACTTGCTATACATTTTTGAGATGAAATGTTTTAATTAAGCACTTAATGAAGTTACAAAACGAAAGCATAATTATGTAAAAGTTTTGTGTAATAAAATTCACTAATAAAATATATAACAGAGCTCTATGCACCGTTTTAGATAGTTATTGCTTTCTGTCAATGACAAATAGATATAAAACAGACTCGGGGAGTAGAATAAAAAATATACCTACATTGTGCATTGCGGGTCTTTAACTCTATTATTGTTATAGTAAGTCTATTTTTTAATCGGTTTATCCAAAAATACTGCACGCTATCATTCAGGCAACAATCGACATTATTATTGATGTCTAAAGATGAAAATTGAATACAAATGGTTCCGGTTTGGATAACTAAATTGAATACAAATTATGAAGTGACAGGGGTATAATAATATATTGTATCCAAACTATAACTATTAAATTACACGATTAATTGCATTGCTCATTGCACTTTATTTCCTTAGTCTTACTTACTCAACGTTGAGCGTATTCAATCTTGTAGGGGCAAAAAACCTATGTTTAGACCAGGGCTCTTTCAGATATCTAACTTGTTATATCTAAGTGAATTGCACGGTCACTTTTGTTTGCAAAATAGCTCCTTGAACAAATACATTAGCTTGACGTTTATTGGTATGATATTAGGGGAAAAATACCACGAATACAAAGTTTGGTCAAACACTGATCGGAAAGAGACCCAATTGTTTATTATTTAGGTATCAAAATCAGATCGTTTAAATTAAGTCAATAGTATATCGGTTAAATTTTGAATTATACATAATGTATAATAATAAATAAATGACACAATAAATGGCTAAACCAACACTATCAAATACACTTAAATGCAGAAATCGTCCAATTACATTGAAATGTGTAAAACTAATAAAATATTACTTTAATTTGTGCTTCAAAGTAGATTAAATAGCCATGATTTAAATACACAATAATGTAAAAGTACATAAAAGATCTTACAAAAATTTCTTATTCTGGTAAATAAATAAATGATGTACTATAGTTGCGAATAATGTCTAAAATAAGCATAAATTTTAATTGAAAATGAGCTCTACCTATAACGTGTTACGGTACAAAATTGAAAAATATCTATCCCGTTAGTGACTATTCGATGTACAATAATATTATATCGCAAATACCAATTCCTTGTTAATAACAACGCTAATTTGTAACTTTAATAACATTATAATAAGTTTCAAATTTAAACGTTAAGAAATTACAAGTTAGTACAATACACATGACCATAAACTGACTGAATATTTAATTTCAAGCTTATTTTTCAAACTGTGTATATTCAACTTCTAAAAAAATTTTTTTGTTCATAAAAACGCTTCGATGATTTTTTCAATGTTACATTTTATCATTTGGAATAATCATCAAAAATCTTGTCGTACTTACTTGATATCTCTAAGAAAACTTAATCTCATTTTTCAAATTATCAAGTGCACGAAGCACCGTCATCGAAATAGAAATACCTATCACCCTATGTCAATGATATAAACACTTCATAGGTTCTTTAAATTCTATATAATATTTCAATTCTTACTCGACGCACATCAAACGTAACATTAGATCTTATTCAATAGATAATAAGGTCTATTCTAAGATCAACATGTAACGCCCGATGTGCTGGTGTAATGGCAAACTGGAAGACCATTCAGTATCTGATTTTGTTTATTTACAAAAATAACTGATATATATATTTATTTATGAATTCTTTGGTATAAAAATATATTTTATATAACCCCTAAATAAAATAAATCGCACTTTTAATTTTGAGATTAGCTTTAAAATAATAGAAGTATATTTTTAATATTAATACAGCTGCAAATTGAGGATCTTTTTATAAAATTGACTCAATATTTTGTTGGTAGAGTTTACCTATAAGAATTCTCTGATATTGTCATCCAAAATCAGATACCGCGTCTCTCAAAATAAATCAAATGGAGACATTTTAAATGATGAGAAAATATATATTTCGTTAACTCTGTAATAGACAAATGTATTTTCTACGGGTGTATATGAAAATAATATTAATAAATTGATAATAGAAGAAAATAAGGGGCAGAAAAAATAACTCACAAAGGCGTATGAGGAAGTTGAACTAACTAAAGACGCATGTTTTGCTTTGTGATTTTAGGTCAAGCCGACCTGTATAAACGGGGGTCATTTATGATCTCACATCGCCTCAAAAGTCCCCTTAATACGCCCCTGTTCCTCCAATGATTGCATTTATTAACAGCTTACAATAAAGCAATATACAAGGCCCGGTGGGCAAAACTCGTTTATCTAAGACTAGAAACAACAAATATGCCCCAATAGACGCCTTTAAAGGAATCTTTGAGATATTTTTGTCATTTATAACTTGAGATTGAGAGCACTTCGCAAATTCAAATATCTTATGATATATTGTATGTATAATTAATTTGTATAGCAAATTATGTAAAGTTCATTAAATGATTTACACTATGTAAACATCAACACAGTAGTAGTCAGGGACGGAATAAGGGCGGTAGCTCGTCCCATTTTATCAAAAAATTTACTATATTCGCACTATAACAAATATAACATTTGATGATTGTATTTGAATTTGTAGTATACTGATAAAAAAAGGATTCAAACCCGCCCATACCCCGTCCAAGACTTAATTTCACCGTCACAAGCGGGGCCCTATGATTAGCACTGCACTGCACCTCTCAATCAAACACTTATAGTTCACGATCTATGAGACTAGCTCAATCATATAAGCCTAGAGGGCTCACTTACACAGAGAGTCACCCAGGGCCAAGCTCAATAATTTGAGTCTAGCGGGCTCACTCATAACTCTGGAGGCCAATGGAGTTACCCAAGCTCAATAATATGAGAGTTTAGCGGGCTCACTCACACCGCATAACTCTGGAGGCCAATCACTGTCTAACCTGACCGCTGCAGGCCCCGCCCTTAGTCCAGCCCTGCCGTGCCAGGCACTTAGCTCGCCGCGTTGTCGTCCAGGAATTCAACGTACGTGAACGGGAAGTGGCCACGCTTCCCGTTCAGCTCGCCTTCCCACTGCCCGTTCATATTCATCTTTATAACCTGCAATTTTAGAGACATTATAAATAATTACGGAATTACCACAAAAAGAGAAGACAAACAACTATTTATTATTTACTTTCACCCGCGGCTTCGCCCGCGTAGAATTTTGTGTCACAGAAAAACTTTATCGCGCGCGTCCCTGTTTCAAAAACCGGGATAAAAACTATCCTATGTCCTTTCCCGGGACTGTAACTATCTCTATGCCAAATTTCATCAAAATCGGTTCAGTGGTTTAGGCGTGAAAGCGAGACAAATTTTCAAACTGAAATCCAGATAAGTCCGATCGCAATCACTTATTCTAAATTTTTAACTTGATAGTTTTCTTCCCAAATCACGGAGAGATGGAAGTGTCCTTTCGTCAATATACAATCCACTATTTATCGAACTTCATCGAAATCGCTTCGCTTCATAAATAATGAACACTAGCTTACCTTAACTATCTCTCCTTCTTCTAGCTTGAGAGCGGTCTTGTCATACGCGTTCGGCACCCGGGTCTGCCTCACTCTAGCCAGGGCTGGTAACGTCCGCTATAAGTAAATAATTACATAACCAAAAATTTGACAATCAGTATCACCTAATGAAAAAGCAACACAGCGCAATTACAACAGAAATACTTTAATCAGATAATAATTATAGTAGAAAGTGAATCTCATCTGCTATTTTACGATTGCTTTTAAATCTGACAGAGAAGATATCGAACGGCCCACAGTTTGGGAATCCACTTTTTTTTTCTTTTGGCACTTTTACGATTTTGGTTTTATAGTTATAGCAGGCCTGTTCATCTCCGCGAGTTTACATCGAAAACAAAACACGCACGATGGCCCACCTACAGGATACTATTCGACAAGGTCTCACATACGAGCGAACATTGACTCACGCACGCGTATTCTTGTGTATGATGGAAGAAAATGAAGAAAATGGTGTACTAAATACTGTGCTGTATTTAACTGCCTAAATAATAATAAAAACACAGAATGTCCTTTTTTAAGTTGCCTCAAGACACTGAGAGGTAAATAAGTAGTTAATATTATTCATGATCATTCATGCTAAATCATGTATTTCCTCCGCCATTAACAGTTTGGCACCTCATGTCACATAATTTTACCGAAGTCAGCCCTATAGCTTCGGCGCAGTGCCGATCACTGACGTTTGTCAACAAAATGGTGCTTGACTCTTGAGACAGGCTAAATTACACCATATTGTTAATGACATTGAGCATACATTTTTTTAAATACCTTCGCGAAGTAAAACTTCTGTACGTAGTACTTATTATTATTCTGTGGTTATAGTACCTATGTACGAAAAATGGAAAAAGTTCTAAGCTCAAGGGCGCTACGTAGCTCGCATCAATACTTATGACTATAATTTGTATATTTTAAAGACTGACAATAGTGACTGAGTTTCTTGCGCTGCGTTTTCTCAGCACTGGCCTCTATTATATCTGGCCAGCATTTATTGTCCCGAAGCAGTGATAGGGTTAATACTGGGACGTGTAAAAGTGCTCTTTAAAAGCCTGTTTGCAAAAATAAATGAGCTTTATTTTTATTTTTTTAGTTCCAGTCTACTAAAGGATACAGTCTGCTATTTGGGAATCCATTTGAACGTTATTTTTTTACGTAAGGAATGCGTAATTTCGGCCTGCGTTAAAAGTAAATATTAATAGTATGGATATTCACAATTTACCTGTAGATTAGTGCTGTGCTGTTGGGTGTGCTTATTGGTGGGCGGGCTGGGCGGATCACCCAGCTGGTTCTTGGCCTCCGACGGCGGGTACGGAACGCCGGAGGGGTCCAAAATCTGTCGAGATAAACATGTGGTTTCAATAAAAAGTAGTAAGAAACCTTCAAAGTGAAATGCGAGTTCATAAACTCGGATGGATCTGCATTTTTTTTTAATCCGACAATATGGATCTAGAAAACTATGAGATCCGCAGGAAAACCAAAGTAACCGACATAGCCCGCAAAATTGTCATAGTGGGCGGGGCACATAGCTCATAGTGGGCGGGGCACATAGCTCATAGAGCTTGGGGCAGAAGAATTCTCGAGTAGCGACCACAGGCCGGTAGCGCAGGATCGGTAGTTTTGGCAATCCTTGGGAAGACCCTTGTCCAGCAGTGGACGTCATTTGTCTGAAACGAACGAACTTACCCTCTGCACATAGGGCACGGATATGGAACCATTGCGCCCCTGGCTGCTGTTTACCATCGGCCGGTCCGTCTAGCTCGCCTGGCTAGCGCGCCGAGCTAGATATAGCCTTACCCTCTGTACACAGGGCACGGGTATAGAACCATTGCGCCCCTGGCTGTAATTTGCCATCAGTCGCTCCGCCTAGCTCGCCTGGCTAGCGCGCCGAGCTAGAAGTAGCCTTACCCTCTGCACATAGGGCACGGGTATAGAACCATTGCGCCCCTGCCCGCTGTATCCGCTTCGTCTAGCTCGCCTGTCTAGCGCGCCGAGCTAGAAGTAGCCTTACCCTCTGCACATAGGGCACGGGTATAGAACCATTGCGCCCCTGGCTGCTGTTTACCATCATCCGCTCCGTCTAGCTCGCCTGGCTAGCGCGCTGAGCTAGAAGTAGCCTTACCCTCTGCACATAGGGCACGGGGATGGAACCAATGCGCCCCTGGCTGCTGTTTACCATCAGTCGCTCCGTCTAGCTCGCCTGGCTAGCGCGCCGAGCTAAAAGTAGCCTTACCCTCTGCACATAGGGCACGGGTATAGAACCATTGCGACCCTAGCTGCTGTTTACTATCGGCCGCTTCGTCTAGCTCGCCTGGCTAGCGCGCCGAGTTAGATAATATAGGCTTACCCTCTGCACATAGGGCACGGGGATGGAGCCGGTGCGGCCCTGGCCGTTGCGCGCCGTCCACCACTGCTCCTCATCGCGGTTGATGACCATCAACCGCTCCCCTCGGCGGAAGGGCAGGTCGTCGGGGTCCTGTAACCAATGTGGTGATTACGTTACTATTTAGGTGGCTGATGAGATCAATGTGGAAAACCTTTGGGGAGGCCTTTGTCCAGCAGTGGACGTCATTTGGCTGAAAAAAAGAAGAAGAAGAAGAGATCAAATACATTACAGGTCTGAGACGTTGTGGTGTGTGACGGTCTGGTCGCTTACTATGGGCCTCATAAGAAGGCTCAAGGTCACCCAAAGAGCGATGGAGCGTGCTATGCTCGGAGTTTCCCTGCGTGATCGAATCAGAAATGAGGAGATCCGTAGGAGAACCAGAGTGACTGACATAGCCCGCAGAATCGCTAAAATCAAGTGGCAGTGGGCGGGGCACATAGCTCGGAGAGCTGATGGCCGCTGGGGCAGGAAAGTTCGAAGACGTAGCGTGGTGGGGCAGGGCTCCACCTAGACAGTGGTTCTTAACCTTTAAGTCATGAGGGACCATTTTACCAAATTTCTGTCTTGTCAGGGACCACCTCATAATCGATGAAAACCAGTTTGACTGCAAAAATCAGTTAAAAGTGGCTTTAACCAAGGTGTGCAAGTGCACTTCGTGGACCACTTGGAATGTCTCCAGGGGCCACCAGTGGTCCGCGGATAGAGAATACAATCCCGACCCTTTTCTGGTCCCGAAAATCCCGGGACTGTACTTGGCTAATCCCGGTATTTTCGGGATTGATATAAACAGGTCTATTTTGCATCCTACGATCTGTTGCGCCTTGACTAGGACCTTGCCTAGATTATACCTTAGCATAAAATTATATAACGATAAAAAACAAACCTAAGGTACGATACGGATACGGACTATACAGGTACGGCCCTAGTAATATCTTTTTCGTAGACCTTAGAAGGGACTTTCCTACTCGGAATACTTCAATAAGGATCCCCTTCTCTTGAGGAACTCCCCGACGGGCTAACAGAGGAATCACCCGATCACCTCATATCAAAATATTGTTGCGGGGTAATTCCCCTTCGGGGATTCCCTGTACGAAAGTATAAAATAAATACGCCAAGCAATTTTTTTTTCGACGTCATTTAAAGAAGAACGGTCACGCCCCATACAAAAAAAACCCAGACCCGACAGAAACGAGACATACCTCAGTTTTTTTGTCATGTCTTAATTAGTTAAATTATATATTTTTTATATTCGAAATCTATGTATAACACCAAATTATTGCCCTTTGTTTTTGTTCAGGCTAAGGTTCAGGCGTCATACAAAAACTAATACAAAATGCCTATTTATCACCAAAATTGGTAAATGTATGTACCTAAATGTCTATTACAGCTGCTATGGAATGTATCTAGGTGACCTGGAAATACAGCCGGATTATACAGGGTGGTTATACATATGGAACGATAAGTGATCTCTCTCGATTATTTCTAAACTATACAAGATATCGAAAAACTAGTTACTGATTCTGAAAGTGCTTCATGAGCTCTTTCAAACGGCATCAATAATGGGTTACAGATAATGGAAGCTGGTAACATTGAATTTTTGGATTTTGTAACTTCTCGTTTCCATCCTGTATAATCCGGCTGTATCTCCAAGTCACCTAGATACATTCCATAGCAGCTATTCAGGTAGGTACATACATTTACCAATTTCGGTGATAAATAGGCATTTTGTATTAGTTTTTGTATGACGCCTGAACCTTAGCCTGAACAAAAACAAGGGAAATAATTTGGTGTTATACATAGATTTCGAATATAAAAAATATATAATTTAACTAATTAAGACATGACAAAAAAACTGAGGTATGTCTCGTTTCTGTCGGGTCTGGGTCACAGATGACCGTTCTTCTTTGAAAGCAAATTATCTGAAATTAAGTATTTTAAACGGCGGCCATGGCGGGAGTATTTGTTAAACATAAAAAAGACAGTGATACGTCATCAGTGTGGAGCAATTTTTTAGTTGTGAAAGACGGGAATAATGTGCTTGACAAATAGTATCAGACGTGAAATGAGCCTGTTTGAAAATGGAGGAGTTCGTGGATATCACTTAGAATTTGCATATAAGAATCTATTATCTATACCTCCAACGAGTGTAGAACCCGAGCGAGCGCTTTCAGCTGCTGCTTTTGTTGGAAATAAATTACGAAGCAGGCTAGGAAGTCAAACATTGGATGCTTTGATATTTCTAAGATTCTATTTCCGAAATTCTAAATAGTGCTTTTGATTTGTATATTTTTTTATTTTATTTTAGTATTATTGCAACTAACAATATTAAAAATATCTTTTGAGTTACTAAGGTATACTTAAGTTTTTTTTTATTAGAACCCCATTCCCACATAAGGCTGATCCCGGGATAGTCCCGGGATCCCGGGATTACCCATAAAAAATCCCGTAATTGAAAAACATGCTCGGGATTGTATTCTCTATCCGCGGACCACCGGTTAAGAACCACTGCACTAGGTGGAGCGACGATCTGGTGAAGGTCGCGGGAGGTGCCTGGATGCGAGCGGCGCAGGACCGGACTTTGTGGAAATCCTTCGGGGAGGCCTTTGTCCAGCAGTGGACGTCTTTCGGCTGAAACGAGCTAGCGCATTCTCAGTCAATGCCTAAGGGGAGGGGTGAAATTGACATTATAATGTGGCAGAGCATACGTGAAGTCTCTATCACGTTTGACGTCTCAAAAAAACCGGCCAAGTGCGAGTCGGCCTCGCGCACCGAGGGTTCCGTACCATTGATTTATGAAATTAAAATTATTATTTTTTTATTTAAGTTATTAGTATGAAAGATTACGCGGTACTAAGCGGTTTACGATTTACGAGGTATTAAAAAAGAACTACTAACTAGATCTCGTTCAAAACAATTTTCGTTGGTAGTTTTTATAGTACATCATATTTTTTNATCATATGTTCTTTTTAGATTTTTCATTTTCTTATTTTAGAAGTTAGTGGGGGGGACCAACTTTTTTCCACTTTGGAAACGTCTGTCACGCAAACTATTCGGTTTAGAAAAAAAGTATTTTAGAAACCTCGATATCATTTTTGAAGACCTATTAGATACCCCACACGTATGTGTTTGATGAAAAAAAAATTTTTGAGTTTCAGTTCTAAGTATAGGGAGCCCCCAATATTTATTATTATTTTTTAATTTTTGCATCAAAATCTTAATGCGGTTCACAGAATACATCTACTTACCAAGTTTCAACAGTATAGCTCTTATAGTTTCGGAAAAAAATGGCTGTGACATACGGACGGACAGACAGACATGACGAATCTATAAGGGTTCCGTTTTTTGCCATTTGGCTACGGAACCCTAAAAAAAACCTCCCGTGCCGCTTCTATACCTCAGGCTTTGATTCAGTTAAGCGCTAGATCTTATAACAGATGCCTTTGACGTCATTAATTCGCTAGCTCTACTTTGAATTTTCATCATGATAAGTATAGGAAGTGACATTTTATCAATATTTTATCTTCATCAATAAGCTCTAACGCTAACATAATTAAATTCTAAATCAATTAATTAAAGGTAAACCCAATTAATTTGGAAATGCAATCAGCAAGGAAAAACATAATAATTGGTGCAAAGCTTTTTGCCAGATAGTTAATAAGCAAAATAACACTTTGTTTTCCAAATAAAGCAAAATAAAATATCCGTTTCATCGCCTAAACTGCTATTAAATGTAAAATTATTTTATTAAACGTTTTTTACTTTATTAGCACGTAATTTTTATGATTTATATCTGTTAATACCTGTAAATTTCTTTTAACGATCTTTTTGCGGCATTTTTTGCACCATATTATCAATCAATTTAATTTCTCAGTTGGCGTGTGAACAACGTTTTGTCAATCATAAATTAATCGAAATTAATTATATTAATTAACTAATACATCAGTGAATGTAAGCCGATTACGCCGTGTATCCAAGAACCGATTTATTTTTACGCAGTCCAGACGTGGGACATAAGGTGGTTTCAAACAGTAGGGTCTTAACATTTTATAACTAGTTTGTGTTGATTTCCGTATAGTCTGATCGCCGAGCACGTAGAATTTCGTCCAATGACCCCCAAGCTACCCATCCTTAGCGCTTGCACACTCACTGCGGGCGCCCGTCGCGACAGCAATATAATTACGCGCAAGCGGTAAGGATGGGTAGCTTGGGGTCATTGGACAAAATTCTACGTGCTCAGAGACCGGGCTTTAGTAGAGAATAATTTTACAATGAAGATCATCTTGATTCTGGTACGATTTCTTTAACTAGGGATCAGTTTCAGTATCTTCGACAAGGCCTGTAATTTTAGAGATTCAAACTTTCCTTTCTTGTGCTTTCATCAACCTTTATTAGAAGTATTGTTGTGTCTCAAAACACGTTACATTTTACATTCAAGATGTTTTATCAAAAAACAGGTAGAAACGAAGCCTCTAAAAACAGCAGTTAACATGGATATTAAAAACTTCGTGGCAAGATGTCTAAAAAAAAATCGTAGCGACGCGATCGTTAGGACACATTTTGAGTTCACCCATCCAGTAGTCAAAACGAACCTACTGATTTATTTTCTATTGTGCATTCGAAAAGAATATGAGTGATCTGCTGAGTCATCGTCAACCTACATTCATTCCATAGGAAGTCTAATATTGGATATAACATCGGAAAAGTTTTAGCAACATGCACTATTTTTTTTTGTTCTTATTCAATGTGGTATGCAATAAAAAGGTATTATTATTATTTCTTAATTGTTTTTTAATGAAATTAATTACATCGCGTTGTATAGTCAATTAATCATTACAAAGTAGTAAATAACTTTTCCTTTTACAAAGTTAAACAACACAAACTTTCACTATTCAAATAACTCATTATTTTTTTGCTGATTAATGATGTTAACATCAAAAGCGAGTAAACAGATACAAATGAAAAGATGCTAGCTAGAAATGTTATAGTCTTTTATATTGTGAGTTTTGAAAGTTCGATCAATTGAATTCTAATAAAGTACACAGCGAGAATGTTTCTGACCTGACTGATTTTCAACTTTAAATTATTCTTTTTGGAAGAATATGTTTCAAATCTTTTGAGGAAATTCGATCTGTCAAATAGACTAGTCATGGTACGTTAAAATCTGGCAAAATAATCTAGACCCAAACAGCATATAAACATAATATATTTTGAAATAAAAATAATAATCCAAATAAACAGAGAAATACGAACGATATTCACACAAATTACTATAGTCTAAAATATCCAAAGTTCAACATAAAAAAGGTTGCCATAAAAAGGATACTCACACTACCATCAAAGTCGAACTTCGCTATCACCAACTCCAATACTTGGTGCGGGGTGGGGGGCGGTGGAGCGGCGGCGCGCGCTCGTGCCTGCGGCAACGGCCTCACCAGCGGCGTGGTGTCCAAATAGTGGAGGCGGTAGAAGGACAATAGTGACGGCATATCCGCGAATAGCTGGTCACCGATCCGGTACCTGACCGTGCTGTCTGATGATACCACGCGGTTTATTATGTAGTGGGACACTCTGTCGTCTTCCCTGTGAGACAAAGAGTGGGTTGAATAAATACATAGCCTTATTATGGATAAAGGGACAATAGGACCAATAGTGGAGACGGTAGAAGGACAATAGTGACGGCATATCCGCGAATAGCTGGTCACCGATCCGGTACCTAACCGTGCTGTCTGATGATACCACGCGGTTTATTATGTAGTGGGACACTCGGTCGTCTTCCCTGTTGGAAAAGAGTGGGTTAAATAAATATAGGCTTGTTATGGATAAAGTGACAGTAGAAGTAATACAGATAGTGGAGACGGTAAGACAATAGGGATGCGGGCGTCAAGCCTAGAGGCTTATAACGACATTCGGGCTTGAATTTGTAAAACTAACAAGTACATTGCCTCCTGTTGTCAGAATTTATCTGCAATTTATGACAAACGCCTCCATTTGCATGGCGGGATAAGAAGTCTGGTAATATATTGAACGTATGTTTTAACAAGCCTGCTGTACAACCCACATTATTTTCACTCTTGCACAAAATGGTACGGAAGACGGAACCCTTCGAGTGTGGGGCCGACTCGTACATGATACAATATTGGCACACAATACTCACTCAAACATTGCTATGAAACATAATATATTACAAAGGAGACTCGCCTTTAAATTTTTATCATCTCTTGTTGACAAGCGTAATTAAATAAATCGTTAAGAGCGAATCTTATCGATTTTAACGATCCATAGAATTTACAATGTGTTCTCGTTTGGGTCCCGATCGATTGTCCATTGAGTGACAACGTAATAGCTTATTGTTATTCATCATATAAATTAGTGTACTGCATGAATTTGTTGTATAAAGCTAGTATATGATTTGCTAATACACTTTGAACCTTATCTTCTAAGGCCCAGAACAGACGGGAAAAGCCTGGATGCGGGCAGCGCAGGACCGTTCATTGTGGAAAACCTTGGAAACATTGTCCATCAGTGGACGTCATTCGGCTGAAACGAACGAACGAACGAAGTATCAACTCACCTGACGCATAGCACATAGTCCCCTTGTATAGTCTTCGAGTCTCTGACCAGGAACACGCCACTCTCAGTCTCGTTCAGCAGCAGTCTCGTGGCTTCGGCGCGCGACAGCTCGCGGAAATACCAACTGCAAAGGATAATAAACGGTAACACTTCAGCTGTAGGCTGGATTTTGAATGGACAAGGATACTGGAAACGTTGGGACTATGGTCAACACAAAGTAACTCGTACGTGCGAGTTCTTAAGACTCCCCGAAGAGCGGAGAGTCGCAGACTACTGACTTTTAGGCTGGTTTGGTTTAGTGTCACGCGGACTGTCAGTGCGGATCGCTCCGCACAGCCGATCTGTATGAACTGCTAGGGAGCGGAGCGGTTCCTCCGGACCGCATTACTCTAAAACGCTCCCTAGAAGTTCATACAGATTGGCCGTGCGGAGCGGGTCCGCACCGGACGGTCCGCCTGACACTAAACCAGCCTTAGTCGGCCGTTGGGCCCAATTTCTTTTTTCTATGAAGAATCGGCGGATACCAAATCGGTGTAATGTGCACAGTGCACTTTCATACATGTGACTTGACTTGACTTAAGGTCCTATGTCCCCTAGATAGGGCAGAGGGCGTCCATACATGTCCATACTGATTAACAGCCCGACCCAACCAAAAGTCGGTGGACTGCGCCTAGGCTTATGCCACGGGATTCTTTTAGAGGGGAAATTCATATGACGGGACTCGTCGCCAAATCTTGGATTTCGAATCAGCTCAAGATGAATGCTTGGGTTTGGATCTTCTTGAGGGGCCTTGCAGAAATAATAACTTTTCCGGTCATATCATTCGTGGGACATACAGCATTCGATGCCAAACATGCCACGGACCTTTTCATGTTGTGACGATGGACGACGCACATAAGGGCATTTTATTGATTAGCCGGTATCTAATATCTAAATTAGATTTTTTTCTTAATTTAGCGTCAATAGGTGCATTTGTTTTCCTTTAAATATAATAGTAATTTTATTGGAATATTGCAAAAATCTTATCACGCAAATTAAATGCTAGTAGAATTCGACAATAACGCCAATTTTGCAGAATTTTCCTTAACATGGTCGATGGTCGCTAAGCCAAGGTTTTAAGCGCCGCACAACGGTTACTATTGCTTCAAAGTCCATTAGAACCAAGATTTAGACATACGGAAAAAACCTTGTTTACGAAAATCTAAGACAATGTCAAATTTTATTTTAGTAGGTATCGTCTTTGCTTTGATTACTGCGGTCAGTAATCTGAGGTATTGAAATAGTTGGTACCCACAATTTTCTGCATCTATTACCATAAAAAGATGATTAACATCTTCATCAAAATTAGTGTATGTAAGCTTGAAGTTTTATATCCCTAGAATAACATGAGAAATGTTAGGTTGCCCATAATTGATCAAAGATAAGCTGATTAAAAATGTTTTAAAAGTGTTTCACTTAGCAATGTGCATTGCATGTTTTCATGCCAGTAAACATCAAAACATGTGGTGTGAAAATCCAATGAACAGCTTAAAGAAAAGTGAAAGTTCTAAAACATTTACAGAAACTGTTTATTTGTTCGCAGAATGTTTCCAAACACAATTTATTCATTACACTACTGCAGTTCAGCCATTACTGAACTTTTTTTTTTAATAAAATTTAACATTTACTTGTTTTCACTTTTAGTGGAAACAATGTTTTTAATTAGGTAGTTTATTTTAACTTTATGATTGTGAAAATAAGCTAAGTGAAAAATAATAAGCCATGACTGATTTATTTAGAACTTTTAGTTTTAATTATTTTAGAATGTCCATAATGACATGGAAAATAGAGAAATTGCATGGAAAATTGTAAAACTTCTTTTTTCCATCCAGCTATTCAACAGATGTCTTTCCAGTCATTTCGTAATAAAAAAGACTCGTCATGAATTGTTTTCTCATTATCTTGGTAGGTTTCAGGTTACATTTAGCTGCTTCAAAATTGTAAAGTAACCCATGCTCAGTTCAGAACTAGCCGCTTGTTTATTATTAGAGTCCATCAACCTGCTGAAACCAGGACAGCTGTAAAACAACGGTTTACTGCTCCACTGAGACTTCCTGTGTGAAAACCTGCTTACAACATTACTACTTTACTACTATTAATACTTCAACATTATGGTAAACAGGCACATTTGTCATGGTGTTATTTGTTCTATGCTAATATATTTTTAAGAGTTTTAAGTTTCTATGTATCTTATTCATTATAAGAAACTTCAACAAATAGAATATGTTGAAACTTTGGTAAGAGCTGGCCTTCTCACAACCTATTGCTATGAAAGATACAAAAAAATTGTCAGAAATCTGCTTTTATGTGGTTTCTAGAAAATAAAGTAGAAAAAAATACTTTGTTTATTAACCCGGCGTCAATGACGCTGGGTCATATTGACCCGAGGCATTTTCAAACGTTCATAATTTTTTTTGCTTCCATTTTGTGGTTCCAGCGTTCGTATAGCTGGAGATACAACCTCCCTAAGTCCATTTCGTTAATTAACTCAGTGTGACTCCGCTTGCGTAGCGAGATACACAGGCTTCAAATTAAAACGGGTCATTATGACCCGGCGTCATCGGTGGCGCGGTGATTTTTTGGCTTACTTTTATTCGCTTATTTTGTGTTCAGTGCTAGGTTATGTTGTTATTTTTTAAGTTTTAGTCAAAATGACTTTGTAAAACGACCCAGCAAGAATGAAGCGCTGCTAGAATAGTCGGATTCCGAGAGTGAAGAATTTCAGGCTGTAATAGCCAAAACTTAGAAATGGCAACGAATGTGAAAAAGACGCAACTAAAGTGGACTCAGTCTTCGGATAATCTCGACCTTGCATTAGTACGACGCCGGCAAGAGCGTCATGCCACATTTACATGCCCAAACCATTTGATTACATACTGCACCAGTTGCAGCAGTTCCATGGCTCTGAATGATGAAGTAGAAGCCTGATCTCATTGTTTCTGCATATAAGAAGTTAATTTTATCTCTTTTTCACTATATATAACATTGCTGATTCCTATAAATACTAAAAATCTTTACCAAAAACAAAAAATATTGACTCATTGTGTTTTTATACATGATTTTTTCATGTTTTGTTTAAAAATTTATAAAAAAATTATTTATACTATGTATTAGTATTATTTTTGTTTTATTAGCTCAGTAAAGAACCCTATAAACATAGACAGTAATTAAAATTAAGAATACTTGTTCAATTTCGTGAAAAATGATCGATGAAGTATGGGTCAATATGACCCGGGGTCATCGTCTTTGCAATTATTTTCACGTCATTGGCGCCGGGTTAAACAAAATATAATAACTTATAAGTAAATATATTTAAAACATACAATATTCGTAATATCTATGTCCTCAAACTATTGTTAATGTATTTAAAGCTAGTTTAGGTAATAAATAACTATCTGCATGTGAATAAAGTCATGCAGAAGTAATTATACCAAGGCATTTGATTTCTCTTAACAAGGAAAATGCTATCAAACTGCAATGCAAACCCTAAATAATGGTTTGTTTATTTACTCACAAGGATATTAGCGGAATTACTACAATGTTCAAACACAGCTTCAGGATAGTAAATGAAATAATAGTTGTGTATAAATAGTACCTCTAGACTACCTAATAGTAAATTTAAAACAATTCCTGTCCCACAATAGAGGGTCCAAGATCATACAGTTAAAAGAGGATCACCATGTTTTCATCGTTAAGACGTTCAGTACTAAACTTAACTCTCTGAATTTTATATTATTAAAAAATGAACTTGTAAACACCAAACTGCAGTACCATCTAAAATTGAATGCTATGGATGGAGTACTCAGGTAAAGTGTGATTTATTGTCTAGATTTATAATAACTTAATTATTTACGCATATCAAAATAATACCCGATTGCTAATACGGAATAATTGTGTAGCGAATTCGAAAATAATATTAATTGACTCAGAAACAAACACTTCAACAGGAAAACTATGTTTCTTGCATGAATGGACTTTTGATTTAGTAATTGAGTTAATGGTTGTACCTGGTCATGTCATTGGGGTCAAAGGAGACCCCGATCCCTGGGTTCGCCATGGTACAGCCGGATCCAACACTACACCCAACACAACTTCACCGGGGCATCGCGGCCGGAAATGACTTTAGTCCATTATTTCTCCAGTTCCACCCAACCTACACCTTCACAACTCACACCTAACCAATGCTCAATTCAAACACTACAAATACACCCCACGGTCCCACGTTTTCAACACGAGATAATTAAAATTTGTTGACATGTATTTTTCTAGGTGTCATCAGCTAGCACCATTGATGTTCACATCAAAACACATGTTTCCGCAATCGCTGCGTCTCTGAATAATCACCGCTTTCACACGCACGCCTTCCCAACTGACTTAAAGACGTACAAATACAAAATTATCTATAATTAAACCAAATTATAAATAATTTCACGGAATCACACACGCGAAGAGTTTAATGAATGACGCATAGACAAAATTTAACTTTTTATTTTTTTGACGCATAATCTTCCAAAAAGAGCGTTGTCTATGGATTAGGTTAAGGCTACACTCCAGGATTTCATCAAAAACCTGTTACAATAACGTTATTTCCTGACATATTTTGAAAAATGGCAACATTTCTTCATTACACATCACCTTCGAAATTTTAGTCTATGGTGTGTGTCCATTGTTTTTCTACAATGTTATTTTTCTGACTGCTGCTGGTGGACGAAAATTTTGGTCTCGCTGCGTCGTGTGTGACTTTGTGATAGTGTTCGTGCCCGATATTGTGATTTATTCGAAATAGATCACGAAGATGTCGTCGCCGAGCGCTGGGAAACGCCGTATGGACACAGATGTCATTAAACTGTATCCTTTCTTTGTTATCGTCACTACAAAGAACATTGCATTAGAGGGCCACCATGTAAATAAGTGGCCAAAGGGCCATCAGCTGATTGTCATGGGCCTTGGTAAAATCGATATGGTGGTTGTGTATGTTACTTTTCTATCACAATTCTGGCATACAAAGTGGCTGGAAAATGTTGGCTAAATGATTCCTGTCACGGCAAGACCTTTGGCTATTTATCCGTGATGGGAGCGTGCATTCTTTGTGTGGCTCCGTGGGCCTACGTATCTATATATATCGCTTAGATAAACAGCTACTACGTAGGTAGGTGCGCGATAGTCTTCCGTGTATGTTAGAGACTAATATTTCGTAATTCGTATGTAGGCCACGGTCTCGATTGCGTATTTTTCTGTGTTGCCTTACGGGCCGCGCTTGGATAATCCTCTGTTTTAATATGCATAATTAATGATAATGAAAGACAATTGCATATTCTACTCACTGAGTGCTCTATTCATTGCTAGATTAGGTAATAAATTGCCTTTGTCAAGATATCTATTCATAGAAAAATTGCTGATAACTGAATGTTTGTTTTTTTCAAATTAATTTTATCAAAAATAAGTGGATTTATTTATCACAGGAAGGTCACACTGAAGTTCATTATTCTTTTGATATTGTGCCAAATATGAACCAATGACCTCTAGCTGTTTAAATTAAAATACCATGCATGATAAAAAATACTCGTACTAGCATAATAATTAAAACTACTAAGAAAACTTTAAACTTTTTTGTTTACAAAAAGCATATTATTGAATGATTCATGGACTGGATTAAGATTCTAGTAATTAAATTGTTTTCATGATAAGTTGTCTATTTCAAAAAGTTAAAATACTGTTTTATGACATTTTAAATGCATTTAAATTTCTTGTTGCAGTAATTCTATGCCTAGTCAGATAACAATATTATGTATTGCAAAAGACTGGAATGTTTAGATAGTTATCTAAAGTAACAAAATAGATATCATGTCATAGACATTTTGTCATTAGTAAGTCCAGTCTGGTAGCTTGCTAATTGAATAAGTTTGAGTGGCAAATTAGTAACTACATAATATAATATTTTTTATTACATTTTAATAAATGGAAACACCAGGCAGCAAAATGGCATTAATGTTGCTAATATACTCCTTTCTTTGGCTCAATTCTGTTTATTTACAAAACTTTTTGTTTGTTTTTTAATCTTATCTGTGTTGCATTGTTAGGAAAATAATCTACTTCACTTGTTTGTACATAATTTATAAAAATGTACACCTTTTTCCTCCCTACTGCACCTTTTCTGTAGCTATCCATTGTGATTTGAGCTCAGAATAATGATTCATAAATCAAAAGTGTAGAGCTTAAAATTAAAAGTCAATTTTATCAATTTGTCTAAAAAATCCTATTAAAAACTGGACCCAACTTTCTGTTATACCAAATTATCAATACAATTGAGAATTAATTTGTCAGATAATAATAGCCCTTAATGTTTATTATTCTAGTTTATTTTTTTATTTGCGCAAGCATATCATTTACCAGCCTGTTTTCCAACATTAATTTATTGCAATGTGATTGTTGAGTAAGCACATTCATCATTAATACTTATCTAATTAAAATTCTTGAGACTTGTGGAAACTAACAACTAAAAGTTGCATACCAATAACTAAAGTTTGCCTGCCAGGAACTCTTAGTATTCTTTTGTTCAATTTGATGCCATGATGTGTCATGCTTTAGGTGAATCAGGAAATAATTTTATACACTAATTATTTTAGGTACAATTTTGTAAAAATGTTACATTACTTGGCAGCATAGGGTATGCTATTTTTTACTTACAAAAATGGCTATAAAAATCAATCATAAATTATAAAAATACGGAAAGACAAAGCCGCGTCAACTGCTTTAATTGCAATTTAATATTGTTCGTATTATTTAATATAAAATATTCGTCATTACCTTCACTCATACAATTTCTACTCAAGTTAAACTATGCTCTACAGTTGCTAACATAAATTAGTCATTTTTGTCGCAAAATCGCACCTATTTACATCCATTAATCTAACGCCCGTATTCACAAACATTACTATGAGGTCTCACAGTGCCCGTGGACGCACAGGGTGACACGAACCAGTCACAGAGCTTTATTCAACGCTGTGCGTTCGATTTGCTGCTTCACTTGAGCAAGCATCGTTTGTCAATACGGGCGTAAGTCATCTTTGTCGCAAAAACTGTTAATCTTTACGGCATGTATTTAAATGCGTTTATGCTCAGAATGCCAACTTCTCAAAATGCCAACCGCTCGCAAAATGACAACTTCTCAGAATGCCAACTTCTCGAAATGCCAACTTCGCGAAATGCCAACTTCTCAAAATGCCAACTTCTCAAAATGCCAACTTCTCAAAATGCCAACTTCTCGAAATGACAACTTCTCATAATGACAACTTACAATTATAATGAATGCAGGAGCAGTGAATGCTACCACAAATAATAAAAATAATTAAAAAGTCCATATATTTACAATATCTTTATTTGTTACTATACAATCAATCAATACACTAGGGTCGTATCGCATCAATTTCTCATCTCAAATGTCCATTGAATGACATACACCTATATAAATTGTTACAATCATTGTCAAAATCGGATAAACAAAAACCAGATAAGGTCACAGTACACTTTAAATCATAACTTAGTGTATAGCGGAAAATAATGTTACGTTATGAGGGTAGTTGTAAAAAATGCACAAGTTATACTTGTCAAAACTATATCGCCCTTGTAATGTGTTAATTTATCTAGTAAAATAATTGTTTTGCGGTTACAGACCGTACCTGGTTTTTGTTTATCTGATTTTGACAATGATTGTAACAATTATGCGCATGTCATTGCATGCGCATGTCATTCAATGGACATTTGAGATGAGAGATTGATGCGATACGACCCTAGTGTATTGATTGATTGTATAGTAACAAATAAAGATATTGTAAATATATGGACTTTTTAATTATTTTTATTATTTGTGGTAGCATTCACTGCTCCTGCATTCATTATAATTGTAAGTTGTCATTATGAGAAGTTGTCATTTCGAGAAGTTGGCATTTTGAGAAGTTGGCATTTTGAGAAGTTGGCATTTCGCGAAGTTGGCATTTCGAGAAGTTGGCATTCTGAGAAGTTGTCATTTTGCGAGCGGTTGGCATTTTGAGAAGTTGGCATTCTGAGCATAAACGTTTAAATGATCTTTTTAAATTNATTGTCCCAATCTTTACGACCATAAATAAGCCCTTATAATATTCAGCTTTATTTGCCGTCGACATAAACGCATCGGCCAGACATCCAGTATTGATTTTTCGTCTGCAATTTACGTACATAATTAATAGCTACATAGGTACAGTCAACCGCACGTCAAACTACATTTTCATTGCAAAATAGCACCTATTTAATATTACATTTAAGTCTTAGATTAATCTAAGATTTAAGTAAAATGCGCCAGTGTTTAAAAGTATTACTTAATGTACAACGGCAACAAAAGCTTGCTTTCGTTATTGGTTTACAAAGTTAATTATAATTATAATACTTTTTCGATAAGCAACTTTCTAATTACGAAGCATTAGATTAATCACTCGGATTCTTTTTAGAGCATTAAAAACCCATAAAATAATTAATCTAGTCTCAAACAATGAACATTGTTCATTGTAGGTAGCTTTATTAATTTCAAACGCGGGTTTCTCTTAAAATACGAAATTAACAAATCCAGTATTTCAAATGTTACTATAGCCTGACCAGGAACATAAAAACCCTCGCCATGTTGCGGAAAACTAATGGTACTAATTTCTTTTAATGGCAACAGTAACTGAAAACTTCATTGGCCTGTCACCTTGCATGTCAGTCTATTGCTGTCAAAGCGTAAACAAACTTTATTTTAAATGTGCGCAATCGATTTTGTGAATTAAATTGCTAAAATCTTTTTATAGTCGTGAAAGAAAAGTGGTTCACAATGTGTTAAAGTATTTGTCGAAGAGAAATACTAAGGGTTCGGACAATATTTTCATTGAATAATTTTTCCGACAAGGGTGTCAAATTGACTGACATGTTTATCGTATAGTACAGTCCACTATGAAAATTAGCTGTGGTTTGTTTCAACTACCTATTTTAAAGTTTTTTGTCACTTTCTAAGTGTTGAATTTTATGGAATTGGGAAAGAAATACCGAGTTTGAAGCGTTCATGAGCAGACATTGCAGTTGAATATTCAAGTTCTGAATTTGATTATTGATGAATAATAAAATAAATCCTACTAGCTCGATTAATGGTTTCATTTAATTTATTTAAACCAGGTTGCCTATAGTAATATTTTTTCGTTAATTTATGAAAATATCAAATTAGCCCTTATTCCTGAATCCTGATACATAAAGTTAGCCTATTAATTTAACACAGGTACGACTGTACTCAGTGTTGCACTATCAAATGCAATTGAAGCGCCTCTATGCCAGGGTTTTTATGTTCCTGGTCAGGCTATAATATAGTTATTTATTCCAATCAGCAATAATTTAGATTTTTTTAACCTACTTCAAAAAAAAGTATGTTCTCGATTCGACTATACGTTTTTGTCTTCAAAGTAGAGAATGCAAAAGACAATGTTCATTATTTATTTAATTTATATTTCTACTGAAATTAAACAAGTTAGTGTAAACATAACTCGTTTAATGAGGTTCTTATTATATTCAACCCACAAAGGTTTCAACGCGGAGGACATTTCAGAGGGCTGACCGCATGTTCTAAGGTCGTCTGCAAACTAGCGACAACGCTTTTGTTTGCGCTTAATTTCCAATTTGTTACTTACAATCTCTCCATACAAACCTACGTAGTAGGATACTTCCTACTAAGAAAAATATTAAACAGGATGTAGCGGACAGACGATGGCATATTAACACTAAGTTAAACTCTTTGGCACCTTAAAACTATTTTTAGTAAAAAATACGGTCTGTTCTGTTGGCGAATGTCAAATCTTATTATTAAGCCTCTACATTTTACACAATGCTTCTTTTAGGATAACTTCCGTACGTATTTTTGTGCGTATTTCCTACTTGGTTTCGTGAAGCGATCACGAGATTAATTCTTGCTTCGTCTAGAAGGCAGTCACGAAACTTTTTCTATAGGCATTGTACTTCAAAAAAGGGTCCAAACACCCGTCAATGACCCATGACCTGAGGGTGGCTGAGCGTTGAACCCCCGTCGTCTGGTGCATTGCTTTTCCATTTTCCGGCGCCTTCAGACAAAATCGATCGTGTGCACGTACCCTAAAACCGCACGCCTATTGGTTACGTTTTACTGGAACTTATTATCGGAGACTAATAAGTTTATTTGTTGTTTAATTACTTTGTTTTTAAATGAAAGATGACTAATTTTTTTAGGGTAATGATTGTCTTTATCGTATCGTTAGTGAATATATTAATTATGTGCCTTTTTTTAGAAAATACGTTCGTTTTGATGAGATCATCATCAAGTAAGGCCCAATTAATAACTGTGATATGATATGACTCATTTAATATGCCGAGTATACGTGTTCCGACAGAGTAGAATAAGACCACCACAAATCTTCCAGTAGAAGTCGTAAAAGATGACTAAAGAACAGAATAATATGCGTAATTCAAGCCTCCCCAATTTGGCCAGCGAGTTAGTGTGGGCCAAATCCTCCATTTCCCTTTTTGTTCAGTTTCTGAGTAATGTATAGGTACCCGGGTAAAACCAGACTACCTGGTTTTTCTTTCAGTTTCCATGACCATGCTGATATTAGCTGTCATGGTTGTTGGTAACACGAGTCCCAAAGCAGTTAAATATTAATAATGTCATTGTGACAGGTCGTTATTTTTTATCTATAAGTATTCTATTAATATTTGGAATAGCACAGATTACTGATACATATTTTTATGTTTAAGGGCTGATTTTTCAATCGTCGGATAACTTTTAACTGAAGAATAAGTTTGGCACATTGACAGTTTTAGTACGGGAAATATGTCAAAATGACAATGTTATTCTTCAGTAAAAAAATATCTGACGATTGAAAAATCAGCCCTTATTTAAGTAAAACGGAGGTCATTAATGTTATTTATTTTACTTAAGGCTACCCCAAAGATTTTGGCTTTTTGTTGCCACTACCAGCATTCTTCAGGTCATCAATCCATCAAACTAGGGACAGACTAAATTGCCCCTGCTTTTACTGATCAATGAAAAATGAAGTTGATTCTCCATGCAGTCTGGGACACCAACCGTATCGTCATGTTATTTTATCAATAACAATAAGTATGTTATGTATGATTTTGAGTTGCTGTTATCTAACATTATCAGCTTATCTTTAGTGGTAAATTGCCTAAAAGCTTGGTAATGTCGGGCAATGTAGTTCAAAATAGGTTAAATGACGCATGACGAATCACATTTTAAAGAAACGCAAGTTTAGAAATTACGCACTTCATTTTTTGTTACTAGTAAAAGGAGCATAGAAGATTTGGATTGCTTTTTTGTTCGATTTTTGTGTTGTTGATCTTATTTAGATGGCTTGATGACTCTGTTATACTATATTAATTTATAATACTCTGTTTGTTTCTTATTTTATTTCTTGCAATCGATTTCCTTAACATATTTTATCAGCATTGAAAGTAAGCACGAGGTGACCATTCTGGGCGGGCTCAACGAGTTCTGTGTCAAATTCTTCGGGCCCCCGGGCAGTGAGTATACCCTCCGTTTATATACGTGCATATTTCACTAACTGATCATCATCATCATGACACATATCGTATTTCAAATTGCACGTTAGTTGTCGCAGGACCGACATGGAAAGTTTTGTGACAACTGCATTGGAATTCAAATTACAATTGCCAACAGTGATTCTTTTCACTGAGATCACCTTGACAAATTGCCAGTGTCCCTAAAACTCGAAACGTATAAAAATTATATTACACAAATTATACAGGGTGTTAGGTATATGGGTTTGTAAGCCGAGACCCAGCCCATGTTAACATACTCGAATACTATAGTGGTGTCAGAATGGTCTGGGAAAGGTACCATTAAGTAACTAGCTGATTCAGTTTTTACTCTAAAATGCGTCGTGGTGAAATAGTTAATTTTAAATTTGTAAAATAGTACGACAAATCGGCGTTGATAAAACAAATAACAGAATTTATTGTCATTTTAAACAATCCCCCAGGAAAATCCGTCCATGTAAAAATATTCAACATAAGCCAGACCCATTTACCTAACACCCTGTATAGTGCTGGGCAGCATCTTAATTGCTGTCATCCTGCACACAGTATCTTCACACCACACTTATAATTACCACAGCCCACAATATGCAGTATCTAACGGAGGTATCCATGGGCGTACCCAGGGGTTGAGGGTAGGGTTACCAGGTCCAAAAACACAAAAGCCGGACTCTGCTTCATTTGGCTGGACATTTTACCCTAAAAGCAATTACTGTCATAGTTCACGAGTGAGTACCATCATCGGTTGCCCAACGTCCTGATGCGTGCGCTTCATATTCCGGCCGTAAAAAGCCAAACATGTCCGGCTATAGCCACCTGGCAACCCTAGTTGTGGGCAAAAGCTAGATCTGACTTGCCCCACCCCAGGCCAGAAGCTGGGTACGCCCATGGAGGTATCCCTCTAACACCACACCATAACTTGCCGTTCCAAATTTCAGACTGCATAAGATTGGTAATTCATTTATGGCAAAATTTATTAAATTCTTTAATAAATTACCACAAACTGTTGTAGAACTACCCATTCATAAATTCAAAGCACATATTAAAAGTACTTTAATGATAAAGTCGATGATTATTTAAAAGATAAAAATGTTTGGGATGTGTAACTGCCTAGCTCGCATAAATATTTATAACTATGTATATTTTAAAACCTGCAAACCTTTGAAAAAGAGGCTGACAATAGTGACTGAGTTTCTTGCGCTGCTTCTTCTCAGCACTGGCCCATTTATTGTCCCGAAGCAGTGGTAGGGTTAATACTGGGACGTGTAAAAGTGCTTTTTAAAAGCCTATTTGCAGAAATAAATGAGTTTTAACCGACTGTTCCTCCTTCCAGCCCCGTACGAGGGGGGCGTGTGGCGAGTGAGGGTGCACCTACCCGACCACTACCCCTTCAAGTCGCCGTCCATCGGGTTCATGAACAAAGTCTACCACCCCAACATCGATGAGGTGTCCGGGACTGTCTGTCTGGACGTCATCAACCAGGCCTGGACCGCGCTTTATGGTGAGTAGCTTGTTATTTAATAAGCTAATGGGAGTTCAGATACCAGGTACTTTTTAATGGTTTGTCAAAACGCGATCTCTCCAGGATTTCACCCGCGTTTGACGTCACTTACGTTTTACGTTACTTGTAGGTTTAATCGATAAATCATTGATTTTGTGAATGGTCTTCATTTCCCTATTCTTATTTTTTTGTTTCATCGGTTCCATGACAAAATTCGAGTTTTTTCTTTTTTAATTGGCAAACATATTTAAAGTGAAACCCCAATATGCAATGTGTACTGTGAATATCATAAAATTGCTGTTGGTGTTTACCTTTATTTATTTATTTATTATCAGAAAATGTTTATTTACAGACAAGTCCAAAACACATACATAATAATATAATTACATTTACATATATTACTTTATTATTAAATAAAAAATAGTGTGGTGTTGCCACTTAAAAAAATAATAACGAGTAACGTTATTAATATAACGGTATTTAACAAATAACGGTATTTGGTACAAAATCAACTCCTTCGTTTGCAGACCTGTCGAACATATTCGAGTCGTTCCTGCCGCAGCTGCTGACGTACCCCAACCCGATCGACCCGCTCAATGGCGACGCGGCCGCTATGTACCTGCACAAGCCTGAGGAGTACAAGAAGAAGGTTTCAGGTAAGATATGTGACCCATTAGTGTCTAGAGCGTTAGTTTAGTTCCCAATCTTATTTGAGATGCGCCCCCTTTCGACCATACAAAAAATTCCGCGCCCCCCTCCTCCAGTCAAGATTATTTATTAGTCATTAGTCATAATAATATATGTTTATTGCATCATGTTGGTACATTTACATTTATTGGTCGCATCGAACAGTCTGGAGTGCATTCTCTCAGCGGTCACAGGTTTCTTACAGATGGCCCGCGCCCCCCTTTAAAGGTCTTTTTGGCCCCTCACTTTGGGAACTAGTGGTCTAGACCTAGCCAGTTCCTACCATAGATCACCTCTGGGGGTTTCTAGAAACCTAGCCAAAGTGAATTCTTACCGCAGCCCACTTCTAGGGGTCCCTATTTACCTAGCCAAAATGATACCGCATCCTTGAGACTCTATGGCAGAATCGACCAATTACTCGTTGTGAAATACATCATCTTCTGTTTGTTTCCTCTAGTTGAGCACGATCTATGATTTATGTTTATATCCTTTAACTTAGTACAAACTTCACTTAAATTAGGATCAGATGGCACTGTGTAATATTTATTTGCGAATGTGGAGATGAAACGTCCTTGAGAAAACGAAACATTTAATTACTATTATGTATCGGGCTTTAACTTTATTAAGTAGCACATCCTTAGGAACATCCGCCTACCACTTTCAGCATAATTATTCAGGAAAAAAGGCTATAACCTACACCACATCGCCTTCCAGACTACGTCCGGAGATTCGCGACCGAAGAAGCGCTGCTAGAAAAGGACGCGATAACAGGCATGGGGGGCGCAGCGCCCACGTCCTCCTCGAAAGCCTCCAACGGCACCGCCAACAACAACGCCTCAGATACAGAGAGCTCTATGAGCGACTTCAGCGACGACGAAGCGCAAGACATGGAGTTATAACGTAAGTTAGAACGCACAGTTGCTTGCTCACTCAACACTGCCGTTGTATAGTGCCGATGGCTAGGACCGTTTGACTGATAAATTTCAAGTAATTCGATTTTTGTAACGCTTTTTCGATTGTGAGATATTTCGCGGTTGGTTACAGTTTGACATATTCGGTAGCACGCTGCGAAACTGAGATTGGCCTAGGATGCGCGCCGTGATAAACTTTTATCGATTTTACACGATAAGCCCATACATTTGTCGCCTAAAATCATCGATATGATTTTATCACGGCGCGCATCATGCCCGGTAGATGTGTGTTGAAAGTTTCAATGTGCACCACGATCAAATTTTATCGAGACATTTTACCGATTTTAAACAATAAGCTCATACATTTTGTCGTCTAAAATCGATATAATGCCACGATAACATTTTATCGTGACTAGCATCTTAGCCCGCCTGGTATCGCGACGGACTGTGCTACCCGTGGTGCTACCGTTGACGCTAGATGTTCATTGCAAATCTACCATCCATTGCAATTATTGCAAATCACTGACGATTATCTTTATAAGCCACCTAGCTAAACACTGGCATCTTATACACTCGAAATAAAAGCGATTTCGCAACAAATATGTATAACTTTAACTTGTACTTAGTGTCAAATTGAAATCAACCGTGATTGTGTCAAACAGTTAGGCCTCTGATCTGAATGTTCTCTTGATCTTTCATTTATGCCCTGATGTTTATGAATTGGCTGCGGGATGCGGATTTAAAGATTAGCTCACAAATGTCTTCGCCTTCCTTCTACAACTGCATATATTTGAATTATTGTGTCGTCAACATCTTTCTGCACCGCGTTGATTTTTCAGCAATTTTTTATCTTGAATAAATGACAGTGTGAAATAAAAAGTAGATTTCATCAGGCATACACATCATAACAGCCAATCAGTCGGTCTATCTATGCCTATAGCTGGCCAGATGCAAGGTCTCCGCGGCCGCAACTAACTCTATGCGTGCTGTCAGGGTATACGTTAAGTTCTTCGCTGGTTCTGTTCGAGTCAGTTTTTGTCTATGGTTTTATCTATCCACATTTTTAGGGTTCCGTAGCCAAAATGGCAAAAACGGAACCCTTATAGTTTCGTCATGTCCGTCTGTCCGTCTGTCCGTCTGTCCGTCTGTCCGTCTGTCACAGCCGATTTACTCGGAAACTATAAGTACTACAGTGATGAAATTTGATGGGAATATGTGTTGTATGAACCGCTACAAAATTATGACACTAAATAGTAAAAAAAAGAATTGGGGGTGGTGCCACCCATACATGTAACTGAGGGATGAAATTTTTTTTTTCGATGTACATACCCGTTGGGGTATCAATGGAAAGGTCTTTTAAAATGATATAAAGTTTTCTAAAAAACATTTTTCTTAAAGTGAACGGTTTTTGAGATATCAGCTCTCAAAGTCGTAAAAAGTATGTCCCCCCCCCAACTGATTGAACCTGTACCTAAAAATGAGACGCACCTTCAAGTAATTTATGACGGTGACGTGGGATTAGTGGGGCACTGGAGTTGTATTTATTACATTAATGGAATACTGCGTGTGTACGATAGTCTTGTTGGTGTTCTAGGAAAATCGCAAAAAATATATGTAAAAGCCTTGTTTCCGTATCTATCGGAGTCATGTATTCAGTTTCCAAGTGTTCAGCGACAACCGAATACTATTGATTGTGGTTTGTTTGCCATTGCTTTTGCCACCTCTTTAGCTCGGAATATTTATAAATACATATATAAAATTAATATTCATACATAAAAGTACAAGGCAAAATATCGGGAGAGTTTAGGCTCCATTCACCAGGTGTATAAATTGACATAATAAGTTTATTATATTTGCTGCTACGGAACCCTTTGTGCGCGAGCCCGACTCGCACTTGGCCGGTTTTTTTTAAATGGCAATAGTATTATGGAAATAACTTACTGTGTATTTGAAGCATCAAAATATTAATGTGTATTAACAATTAAAGCATTTTCTTCAAAGAATCATAGATAATAAACTGATTGCGAAAAGCCAATTTCACTTTGTAATCTATAACGTCATGTCGACTGCTCGAAAAATATATAAATCTAAAATCAAATTGTATTTTATGGACCACTATTGCCAATTTTAGAATATAGTTTAGCATCAGAGTAAATGCTCACGAATATTATCAACGGGGCAGACGGCATGACTCAAATACGCTTATGTATTTAAAATAATGATGAAAAATTGTATATGGATTATAAGATAATCACTTATTCGTGTTTTTAAAATTCTTTAGTCGTTGGTGTGTCGGATGGAAATATCTAGGATTGTCTATGGCTTGTCTTTGATCGTTAGAATTTTATGCTTAAGATTAGCAGCAATATGATAGAAAAAAGTGTTCACGGTTTGTTATAACCTTGTAGTTGGATAGTGGCTTGGTGACGAACGAAGGAATTAAATTGTCTTAGGCTATGTTTAATAATAAATGTATGTACTAACTGATAAAGGTTAGGTTTTAACTGTTTTTATTCTGGCCGCGACGTGGTTGAGTGAGCGACATAGCATTTTGTAAATAATCTTCTAATCTAACCCATAGCATAAATCCCGTTAACCTTTATGATGTTCGCCAAACGGACTGCAGTCATCACTTTATATCTCATAGGTATTTAATTATTATTATTAGTGTTAATTTTGAAACAAATGATGTGTCATGTTTTATTGTGTTTGTCTATGCCCTGTCTGTTTATTGGCAACACTGGAAAGTTTAGTTGTCTGTGCTCTGTATATCGGTTTGAGACGTTCTATGTATTTCATTGTGCAAACTGTGATTTTGTTTCTTCCTTTTTGTGAGGCAAGGCCGTAAAATGTTTTATAATAAAACAGAATAATATGTGCAGGTGTAATAGCGTCAGTCAGTAAATAACACGATTCAAAATAGTAGATGGCAAATTAATGAAACTTTAGAAATGTTTTAGTCTATGCCATATTTTTATTTTAAATATAAAAGAAGCTAGATTCGAGATTTATTTATAATAATATGCCTCTTTTATATTCTACTTAGTCATAATATTAAAAATACCTGTAACAATCAAAAGTACTGCTGCACCACTTTTCAGTTGATGTGTAAATCTTGATGGGGATTATTTGTATTTTGGAAAAACTATCAAATCAATTAATTTTATTTTATAAATATTTTTATATACCTTCAAATGTATTTCTAGTGCTACAAAGATAATATTAATGTCAAATAGTTCTTTTACCTCAACGGTAGTGCATCGCCAAGTTGTGATTGCAATGCTTTACGGTCTTGTGCAAAATATATGTTTTTGTCATTGTGGTCGAGAAATTTAAGTTAGCATCGTGTACTTAGCGTAACTGGGTCTGTTTGCCTTTATATATTTTGTTTTAGCACAATGTAACGCGTGCAACACCATATTCATAAAACTTTTAAAAGTTATATTTACTTCGAAATACTCTTCAATAAATGACGGTAGTTTCGCATATCGCTTAGTAACGGTTTATTTTTTAAATGATACCTTAAATCTGATTGTTAATAAAAAATATAAAAAATTTTGGCCCTTCAGGTGAGTATAGGCTAGAGTTATTCTATGTAATGTAACGTTCTTACGAATGGTGCAATACAGGTAAAATGTACGACGTTTGGTTCGTGAACACTAGAACATTTCATAGAGCGGCGGCTCGTTCTGTTACAAGTAAATGCTATACCCCCTTACTAATAAAAAGTTACACAGTTGTTGAACACTGTTTTAAAATGACATTTCCATACTAAACGTCACTTTAAAACACTGTTCAACGAGCGTGGAAGTTTTATTAGTAAGGGGGATAATTTATACTCACCTCATTTCTTACTGTATTTAGATATAATTCAATCATGTCTGTAACATTTTGTAGGTGTTGCACGTCGTATTCTTAGCTGTGTCCACTTACACCAAATAACTAGCATTTCGTTTCTATCATTTCGATGACTCGAGTCGACGTTATCCTGCCAATGTTGTTGTTTGGCCTGGTTTGTGGTGTTCTTTTTTATTGAAGTACAGAAAATAGTTGTCTGAAAAAGATCATTAAGGTTTTTGTGATCACTTTATAGTTTGTCTGACCATTACCTTATTATTTTTTATTTTAATTAACAAAATTAAAATTACTACAGTTTTTGGAGAACTTGGCTTATTTTTACATGAAAGTGAAATTTTAATATAGTAAAGTTTAATTCTGTAATGTTTTGTGTAAAGTAACTATGTTTTAACCATATTTTAAAGTGATACAAAAAGAACATCACAACACTTAATAGATCTCTAAAAATGACACGTTGCGAACTAAAAGTGTTGCATACGTCTATTACATAAGTGTAGGTTACGAATAGATATAAAACACGAAGAATAAATATATTAATATCATATTATGTATCTTTGAAATGATAACTCAAGCCATAATAATATATTTTGGTATAAGGAGGTAACATTATAAATTTTAGTTGTAAAGTTGGGTCGACTGGTTTTTAGATTTGCCGAACTTTTGTCCACCCAGCTTTTTCAGGTGTAGTTTTTAAATCGCTGATGTCGATGTGTAGACTCTTTAGGCAGACATTTCATAGTGTACTCTATTAATTCTATTCATTAATGGCAATATTTAATTGATTTAATTTTGAAATCTTTGCGTTTTCTTTAGCCAATTGTGTACAGTTGAAAGTGTTGATGATTTTTGTACAATTTTTGTATGTGTTTGATGGTACTTAGTTGCTTGTAGAGGTACATTATTGAATATTTGCCCGACCCTGAGACGCTGTCTCTTTTTAACGGTTGACATGTCATTGTATTTGCCGCGACGTCTTCAGACGTTTGCCGTTGACGTTAAGATAGTTCACCAAATTGTGAGGGGTTCTGTCCCCGTGGAACAGTTATACATGTAACAGAATAAATTTATATTCTATTTTTATTTCATTACATGTAATAAACTTACGTTATTTTTAAACTACATTTGTGTTTGCTTTGATTCCCTTTAACTATAAGTTTCTACCACTATGTATGTGTCAACGTGAAACGTATAACGCGTTAGATTGTAAACTAACAGTGGGTTAGGTTAGGTTAGATTGTAATTTAACTACGCCAGATTTTAATCTGACGGAATTCACAATTTTATGGTGACATATGAAAAGTGACATAGCATAACATAAGAACTGTCAAATTAATGAAAAATGTATGTTTGTGTAATGAGGGTTTTCGCGATAAAATCCGCCAGATGGCGGGACGTGGATCTGGTAGGATCTGACTGCTGCGTGATTGGTGGATTTTGAATGTCACGTCAAAAATAACCAATCATGCAGCATTTCGACCTCGCGTCTACGTATTGCCATCTGGCGGATTTTTCAATCGCGAAAACCCTCATTAATGCCTACCTACTTTTATGGAGAAAAACAAAATGTTTTCAAATTTACAAATACCCTCCTAAAATTACACTCAGAGTCATAGATGCAAAATAATACAAAAAAGATACATAAATAAAACACCATATTGATTTATTAACATAAATCTATTAAAAATAAACATTTTAACAACAGGCCCTATATACAT